TCTCTGGTCGAGAGGTACACCGAGGTACACCGATTTTCTGATCGTATCAATTAAATTGTCTCTTTATCTGTGTTTAAGATTACTTTCGATAAAGAGAGATTAGTGAAAGTAACTGTAATAAGGGTTATAAATGGGTCCTGCTCTGGGTAAAATTTCTGCACAGCCCCATCCTACATTATGCATTCAGTTCTTGGTTAGAGAAAACAATGACAAAAACAATACATTGCCATTGGGAAAACAGATTTGTTTTACAATAGTATGGGGCTGTGAGGAAATTTTACCCTGCTTTGAACTTCATTGAATAAAGACAGTCAAACTCTAAGCAACATCTATGAATGGCTACCTTCTGCATTGACTCTGTCATAATGCATCAATTTATTTGAAACTTCAACATCACCCCCCTTTCCCCTGGGGTACCTCTCAGGTATTTAAATTTTTGAAGATCAGCTCATTTAAACCCCCCCTCTCCCCCCGGGCCAAAATTCCATTCAAATGCCCCACCCAATGTTGAACAATTCTTTGTGTGATCAGCAAATGTTTTAGAATTTAGCAAAGTCTCGTATTAGTTTTTGGTGTTGCTGTTAGGTTTTCTTTTGTAAACATCATTCTACAATATGAAAATTGTCTTTCTAAGCCAATCACTCACAAAAGCAGACTCTTTACCTTTAAACTCCTCCATTACAATATGTGTATTACACTGGAGAAACTTGACATTTCTAGTTCAAATGCCCCACCCCACTCAGGCAAGGTTAAAATTCTCCACCCCCTGGACATGGATGGCAGTCAAATGCCTATTGGTTACTGGGGGGAGGGGGTGTGGAAGCTTTGAAGTTGATCAGTGCATAAGCAGCCAGCTGTAACTGCAGGCACATTTCACAAACAGTGTTACTGAAAGTAAAGTATTAGACTTGCAGCCCAGAATTCCTGGGCTTGAGTCTTACTTTGACATGGCTGGGATGACTACAATGTATCTGTACTTCTACTTTAAACACAGCTTTCTCTTATGTTGTTTTTTATTTTCTGTCTTTTCTACCTTTCCTAGTGATTTTATCATCATTGCTCATTATATTTCTCTACTTTAGGTTCTGTTCTAATTTATGTCATACCAAGTGTGGCTTTTGTGGTCCTGGTGTTAACTGGCTGCTGTGTTTACTGTCTGTGCTGTCGAAAACGCAGACAACTGAGTTACCGAAAGGAAGACAGAAAGATGCAGAAAAGACGGGAAGAGGCACAGAAAAGAAATGCAGAGAGAAGAGCAGACAGGAAAATCAGAACTGATGCAATTCGTCAGAAATATGGACTGCTTACAAATGAAGATGATGGTGAACTTGCATAGTAGGGAGACAAAAGCCAGTGCTACTGAATCAGTTAAAGAGTGGTACTTTGACCACTGCAATTTTGTTACTTCAATTTTGTACTTGCAAATATTTTCAAATTTGAATCATAATTGCTATTAATAACCCTTGGAGACCCCAAAAGGTACTAGCATCTGATGTCCTCGCATATTATCACTCCTGAATCAAACACTAACATCACAAGAATAAAGGAAATAATCACCATCCAAAAAAGCTGTGGATTGTTAAACAAATTCTCCTACTCAGCGCCTTAGGAAATGTATGGAGAACAGTATGGAGAATTTGCATACTGATGTTAGGGTGTCAAGGGTTAAGATAAGAGAAAAATAGTGAGTCTTTTCCTATGAATTTTATAAGGTCTGTTCTTGATTCCTGTTGATGAAATAATGTTATTGTAACTATGAGACATTTCCCCCTTTGGTTCTGCATGCACCTTGGCAAATTTTGATCAGATTTGATGGCAAAGTTGTCAAATAAATCAGTTTTGACAGATTTATCCTACAGCAGGGCATTTAAGCAATCCTAATGTGATATAAATCAATGATAATGTATTTATATCATTATTAAACAAACTTACTTTAATAATTATTTCAAAAAAATTATTTAATCATTTTTAGAATGGTGTGTCTTCATTCTCCTCATTATCAGCTAGAGGTGAAGGGGAGAATTTTGCAAGAATTTCTTTTAAAGTTATGTCTTTAACTGGAGGTTTACATGGTAGAAACAAGTATTCTTAATTGACAACACCTTCATTAATTGTGTAGAAATGAGGCAAAGAATGTAGAGTTGCTCTGTGATCATATTAATTGATGAATACTGTAACACCGGACTTTGAAGTGGAATCTCTAACATTTAATTTTCAGGGAGTTTTCTCTTTTTACGTATTATTTATAACTAAATGGATTTCCAAGGCTGTTAACAAGTACACTACCAGTTGCGATGGTTGAACAAGGTAACCTCAGATGTATTTTTATTACAATCTTGTTTGAACTGTCAGACCTGGAATTGATGCAGATTAGAACTTTTTGGCAGCCTGCTGTATATCTGGAGGTTTATTTTGCAAAAGCGTCTTGGGGGGCATCTCACTTGCTTTGATGTGCCACCTTCAAAGAAAATTTCCTACAATGTTTACTGTATTTATGAGACAGATTAATAAAATTATAATAATATCCTATCTCTCTTTAGTTTGGAATTAAATATTGAAAAACAAGCATAGTTTTTACTCAGATCATCCTTACATTCAGCCTGAGAAGCAGGCGCAAGACGGGGGGGGGTGCACAAGGTTTGGGAGGGTTCCTCTTTTTATCCTCTCCCTTCCTGCACAGGTTATTCCATTGTGTAACCTCTAGCCTTCCTCCAGTACCCATTAACTTTGCTGACATGTCAGCTTGCCATAACCATTCCTCAACTCCTGGACAGTCTTATTTGGTCACTTCACTGACATCCTCAGTCAATTCAGTTTAGTGACTCTTTTATATTCCTTACATTTTAATTACCATTTGGTATAGAGTAGGTGTAATTTTTTGGCAAAGTTGTTGGCAAGTGGACTGTAGTGTCGGTGAGTTGGCTGTCAGCCAGTTAACATGTCAGTTAAATGACTGGTCACTCTTCAAACAAGCTCTCCTGTGACCAAGCTCTTCACCATCTACACCTTATCAGTGAGCTTACAACCCTTAAATCATACAATTTTGTAAACAATATTAGCTCTGATTTATTAATGAATGGAAAATTGCGATTAGAAGGTCAAAGTATGGGATCATACAGGTACAAATTACTTTGAAAAGCAACGAGTTGCTTCCAAGGAACAAAATACACGAATGACAAGACAGCACCCAATCCCATAAGCACTTGAAGATAGATCGCCACGTTGTGTGAGTCGATCATGACGACTAAACTAGATGGTCCCTTCTCCGTTTCGACAACTTGCGAAACTACGAAAGCCACGTACAGTGTAACGATTAACACAGCAACAATGATCCTCGTTCTATTTACATTTTTCGATCGTTTATGCAGCAACATGGCGCTGGTAGCTGCACTGACTGCAATCATAGCCAGTTTGAATACACCGTAACTTGCTCCGGAAGCAACGCCAATATTGAAGACCATTTGGTAGCAAATCACACCCACAGATCCATTAAGATACTTAGGACTGCTACAATCGATCGGATCTTCTCCAAGCCTTGCAAATGCTCTCCAGAACTCCACGTTTTCCTTGATGTTGTATTCGAAGCATTCCATAGACACGGAAGCATCATCCGGTTTGCAACCGTAGCTCACGTCGAGAAGTAAGTTTTCCCAAAACACACTTGAAGCAAGGGTAAACATTGTAAAGAACAGCCCAAAAAGGCTGGAAAAAACTTTCCTCGTCAGCTGTTCTGAGCGGGTCAGTTCAATATCCTTCAAATACCATCTTGTAAGTCCGCTATCAGTTTTCTTCGTGATGACGGCGGAGAAGGCATTCGAGACAATCCACTGAATCAAGGCAGAAGCCTTCTCCTTACCGCAAAAGTTTGCTGCTTCGAGGATGACTAAAGGAACACAGCTTGTGACAAGAACCAGAAGAGTACCTATCAGGCCGTAATAATAACGCTTCATAGTAGATTTTCAAGGGAATTAATATAAAGGAAAATCAAAGTCCAACCCTATGATCTTTGAGTCTGAAAGTCTGGTCCACATGGATGGTGAATCGTATCTCTTTAGTCACGCAATAACGCAGTGACAAAACTATATCTGCGCAGTTAACTGAGCTTTTTTTTTTCTTTTTCGTAAATAATTAGATTAAACAATTCAGCAGAACTAAAATATTTGAGGCATCACAACAGTAATTGCTAGAACAGAAGTTTTACGCGTGAATTTTCACAAACGAAAGAATGGATGAAAAACACAAAGCGGGAAGGAATAGAGAAAACGAGAAAGCGAAACGTACTCAAGCACGCCGCTAGATTGCATTACCTCCTTTCGGTAAAGCTGCTTTAACCCTCTAACATTCACCTTTCTTCGATTATCATAGTATCAAGATTACTTTGACCGTCTTGCAAATAGCCTTAGCTAGTTTAAGGTGCGTTACTACTATCTAGGCCAACTGCCAAAACTAAATTTAATTTAGTGGTGGGAAGTGTTTACAATTTAACATATTTCACTATCACGAATTAGGTCGAAAATGAAATTATCGATTAAAAGTCGAATATCACACTACTATTTACATTAATTTACCTTTTTACAATTGTTCCAGTTTTTAAGTAATTGTGTTCGCTTGTCAGGATGCCAAAAATATCATGGAGTTTTTTTCGAAAATATTATCTTGGTAGGTCTTTTATGCAGGCTGGTAGCTCATTCTCACAGCTCCAACTGCCTGAACTAAATTTTTTTTTTTTTTTTTTTTTTTTTTTTTTTTAATAGTATCTCTTTATTGCGCCGTACTCTCCAAAGGGAGATGTTAGTCTACTTACAATAAAGTTCAATAATACAATATGAATAACATAAAACGATAACTTTACCATATCCGAATACAATACGTTGATTGAAAAGCTATTACTGCTAAATTACATTTGTGCATTGAGACTTTGATACATTAAATGAGGAACTATAACAAAAGTGAAAAAAGAAAAAGAACGTAAGGAGTATTGTTTGAAGTGTTTTGGTGAGAGTTTCACTGTTGGCAGGTGTACCACTAAGTTTTTTATTTATTTACTTTTTTATTATTTAAATTTTGTTTTTATTTTATTTTGTATTTTTTAAAGAGAGTTGAGATATTTTAACCGCATTTGTCAGGAGCTAGTTATTGACGGTATTTTCAATTAGGTCCCTTTGGTGAACTGCATTCACAAAGTCGTGGAGGACAATGGGCTTGTTGTTAAGTTTACAACTATAGATATAATAACGCATGAATAGTGTGACGTAGTCGAATTTCTTGGTGGTACTATTCTCGTTTAAGTTGGAGGTAATTCCGAATAAAAGTTCCTCCGTAGTTGGAGAGAACTGTGAATTGTACGTTGTGTTAAACCACCGAATGACTTTCTGTATGAATGATTTCGTAAAGGGACAGTGAATAAAGGTGTGATCGATTGAGTCTTTTTCCCCACAAAAGCAGCATTCTTCGTCAGTTTTAATACCATATTTGAATAGTTCTCTCTTTGTCACCACGATTCTATGAATAAACTTAAATTGAAATTCTTTTAGTTTTGTTTCTTTGCACAGCTTTCGTATTGACTTAAATATCTTTGCCCATTTTTCATCATTCAAAGAAAGTATTTCGCTCCATCTTTTAGGACCTGCCTGACCTCCAGTGTGGATTTTAGCAATTAAAAGATTATAGAAATCCCTTGATTTGGCTTTATCAAGGTTGAGCGTGAAATTTCCGTTGAGGTGAAAAAGATGATCATTACTTGTGAAAAACTGATTATTAACTGATTCTATTTGTCTTGCTTTCGACCGTAGCCGGTCAGGTATGGCACTAATAATCTGAAAATACTGGAGGAAGTTTGTCTTGCAAGAAAACTTTCCTTTAAATTCCTGGAATGAGAGATAGCTACCATCCTCCTTCAACAAGTCTTTAATAGAAACGATACCCTTCTCCATCCAGTTGCTGAGATAAACGGGTGTTTCATCTACTAGAATTTCTTTATTATTATACAGTACTACATCACTTTCCTGGTCGTAACCGTAAAGTATTTTTAATTCTTGAAAGAATTTGAGAATGTTCTTATAAAAGGCTGGCAATTGAGGGAAGTACTTTGTGTCGTAGTTGCATTTTAGAAGAAAATTTAAGCCCCCCTTTTTCCTGAAATAGTGGTTTAGCACAGAGCACCAATTTTTATCTCCAGCATTCAAAAGTCTAGGGATCCATGCAAGTCTCAAGGCTTTAAACATTATGTTTCTGAACTAAATTTAATTCAGTGTCAGAAAAAGTATTTTAAAATTTTTCAGTCGGAAATTTTTCGGAGGGGGAAGATCGCGTGTTATGCAAATGAATGTGCGATACTTTGGTGAAAAACGGTCACTTCAGCCACTTCCATGATACATGGAAATGGATAATTATTTTCCAGTTCCATAATTTAGAAAGTTTATCTATAAAACGATAGCTTCAATAAAGAGAGGAACAGCATGGTAGTTTCTGTCAGCAAACGATGTGACGAGCAAGGCTCTTTTTTGTAGAGTTTTAAGATCTCACTATGTTTCAAATTTCCGCAATGTAAATTTGAAACATTCTAAAAAAAACATGGGTCTCCTCCGAAGGATTTTTTTTCTTTTTTTTTTCTACCTATCATCTTTCTCAATAATAAAAAATTCCCTCTGTATATGACCAGAACTTTCTCTTCCAGAGACGATTATAGGTTCAAAAGGGGATTGACATTTGAGTTTCCTCTACTTTCAATTTGTTAAGGCGTAATCATCCGAGCGATAACCCCTACATGATTATTATATTATTATATTGTTATATTATGAATTAATTTTTTTCTCTTTTTAGCCTTGTTCTTGCTGTAATTTTTAATATTAGTAATTAGGATCGGAGATACAAGCTTGTAAGCTACACTGAAATCCGAGGATAAATAAAGCTTATGTATGTATGTATGTATGAACCCAACCTAGTGTGTGACACTGATCGGAGAAGGGGATCATTGTTTCCATAGCTATGAATCTTAGCAAAAGGTACACAATTGTTTTGTTTGGCCTCTCGAGATGTCTATCTTCCGCCTCCGGAAGCCTTCGTTAGAGGATCCGCAGCATGATCAAGCGTCTAGCGAGTCGGATTATAATCGGGAGGTCCTGGGGGCAAGTGCTATTCGGACCACCAAAAGTACCCGTTTCTTATTAGTCCTGAGTTCCACTCCTTGTGAACGCTCGTAATTAGTCTTGATTGAATTCAATCCTGACAGATAGGGCTCTTATTCAGTTCTTTGTTTACGAGGTGGGAGAAAAAAGACTGGAAAGATGGGGGAAGGATAATTTTGTATAACACTCTTGAAAAGAATTATTTGTCTCAACCCTTTTGCTTACAAAAGAACATAGCAAACAATATTAGAAATAATAAATTACAGGACTCTCTACTAAATATCTATTTTTATTTTAATATCTTGTGTTATAAATAGCTAAAATACGCCCTAAATAACAAATATGACAAAATATCAACCAACTTTAAACAAAACGTTTAACAATACAGCGATAAAGAAAAATTTCGTAATTGCGATTACCATGCCACTCTCTGACGCCCTTCGCCTGTAATAATTAAATACTAAAAAATTGGTCAAAACTTGCGGTAAAAGAGCGAAGTTTCGTTATTCTCTCAAATTTCCCCCCATTTAACAAGGAATAAACAACTTCACAAATAAAGCTTCAAATAGACTTCGAGCTAAATTAAAATGCCGAGCAAGATATTCCTATTAATTAAGAAAGGAATTCATGTACAGCATAAACCTGACCTGTTTTGGAGAAGCTCGACACAATTCGCCCTTAGTCATAACCATTTTTGGTCCCCTGTAATAACCAATTTTGGTCACTCAGCCAAACTGATTATGGTCCCCAAGCCAAACCGATTTTGGTTCCTGAGCGAAACCGATGTTGATCCCCAAGACATAACCGATTATGGTCCTTGGGCCTCAACCGCTGAGTTTTCCTGGTGTGGACCAATCCATGGACTAAACAAGGGCGGGGCAACCCCCTCCCCCCCACAAAAAAAGAAAGAGACGAATAAATAATAATCTGCATTAACAATGATAATTATAAAGATGATGATGATGATGATGATGATGATGATGATGATGATGATGATGATGATGATGATGATGATGATGATGATGATGATGATGATGATGATGATGATGATGATGATGATGATGATGATGATGATGATGATGATGATGATGATGATAATAATAATAATAATAACAGCGGCCAATCGAAACATAGGAAATATCACCAGAAGCGAATGAGACCTCAACCAAAAAAAAAGGCAGAGAGACTGTAGCGCGGGAAGACGCAAATTACCGAGTTGCGATTAATTTACTTTTTAATTTAATTGGTCGGAAAGGAGACGCAAATTCCTTCACGAATCACTGAGCGAAGTACAGCGAAACCAATCTGATCCAGAATAGTTTCGAAATTAAATTTAAAATTGCTTTCTACTGTTTTGTAACTTTACCTATTTATGTAAGCTTTTGACAACATATGACGGACTAACGACTTTTCTGAGCCAAAACCGGACGCTTTCGAGCCCTGGCACATAGCATATTGTCGATCTACAAGCTTAGGATCACAGATGACCGGATGGTATACGTGAACCAAGCCAGGATCCGCCGCACGGAACACGCTAATGTCTTGATGCCTAACAAACTTCTCGTACAAATCCACATCTTCCAGCCCCCACCCCTGAATTGTTGTGTCAAAACCCCCAACAACTCGTAAATCGTGGTTGTAAACAGCGACTATGCCGAACGCATAAGCTCGCCAGAATCCAGCGTCCTTGCTCACTGTGAACTGGTCTTTGGGAACTGTATGATTTGGGTAAGTGATCTCGGAATCAAACTGACTAAACACCATAGGATAATACACTTGTTGACCAAGTATCGTGTTCATACGAGCGCGATACAGAAACTCGGCATTAAAAACCAAATCGACGTCGCAGAAGAACAACAAAGCACTTTTGTCAAACTGGTTCGCCCCAAGAGAAAGAGCAAGGCCGCGTGAAAAATCTCCTATTGCTTCCAGCCACAATAGATCTGCCTCAGGATACCTCGTTTGGTAGTCTTTCATTACAGTTTTGTGTTCATGCGCAGGAGTCACGGAAGGAAAATATACCACCAGAAGTTTCGCATTCTCTCGTCGTTTCAGGCAGACGTCCTCGAAATTCTTCATAAAACGGCGGAACGTTCCAATGCGACCAGTTAGGGGGAGGATAAAATGCACCGAGGGGACCTCTTTTAGTAGGGGCTCGGCCCTGTAGACCATGTTGCCAAATGGCAATTGTAGAAAGGCGTGGTGACGCACGTGTACCGTCATGCGCCTCCGGTTGTGTCCAATGTGCCGATGATACTTCATGAGCATGTCCATGAGGTACTGTGCACCGTACAGCGGATGTACTCGCATGTACCCGTGATTCATTTTTTTAAATTCAAGGCTGCGATGAAGAACTCGCTTTGCCTCCTCATTGATTAATCCCATTGTCTGCCCAAGCACGTGATTAAGTCCGTCTTTCCACGGGTCGCGCATGCCTGTTTCAGGCGGCTGAAGCGTGGCTACGGAGTAGAATTTTTGCGCCGTGAACATGTCCCAAGGCTCATGGTATCTTGAACTAAGCTGGTGATGAAAATCTCGCACGCCTTGGAGGCTGGTTTTTTCTTCCGTTGACAGCGAACTGATCGTAGAGTTCAGCAGTAGATCCATGTTCTTGAGGACTCTTTGCAGCTTAGTTGCTTGGTACTGAAGGTCTTGAATGCGCATGGACATGAAATGTGCTTGCAAACGGTACATGTACGACGGTTGTTTTACTGGGTGAAGGGTGATGGCCTTACGTACCGACTTTGTGTCCAGGTTACCATGAAATGCCTGCGACTTGCTTTGGTTGTGGTAGAACAGGGCTTGCATCTGAAAAAAAAAAGGTCAAACTTGAATCAAAACAGAAAAATTGCACAATTTTATCTCAATTCAACGCTTTCAGAACACAAGTGAACATCTCTTTTGGGAAACGCCCGTTACAAGAGGACACGTAAACAAAAATTGATTAATAAAATGTTCTTCGAACCTTTGTGCTTATTATCCCTGACAAGGGCAGATAGACCCATGGTCTCTCATGCATAGCTAAAAATTATGCTTCAATGCAGTTTGCTACAAATTTATAATCGAACAATGTTTGGCGGTGTAAAGTAAATGTTCAGCAAGAAACCGTTTTCAACATCGAGGCTAGTGAAAGACTGAATCAAGAACAATACTAGATGAGGCCACAAAGGATAAAGACAAAAAGATGCAATTAAAAGTAAGTTCCTGATGGGGTGATATTCATAGGTGGATTACAATTAGTGAACACAAAACATGAACTCGGTAAACTAGTGCGCTTCAATCTGTAAAAATATCGTTGTTAAAGCGACGTTAATGATCAGAAAGGGGACACAACAGTCTTAGTAATTAGAGGATTTCCGAATGATGTTGTTGAAACAAGATCCTTTCACCAGAAATCTGGGACGAAGTTAATTGCGAGAGCTCATGCATACACGTGTATGCTATTTTTGTATTCGAGTTGTAACCTCAACACTAACCGAGACCGTCACATTGTGAAGTTTCCAAATAAGAAATAAGAACTGCAAAAAGGACCTTTACAACTGTTTTGGCATTTCAGAATTGGGATGGAAGCGGGTTTACAAACTTTCGTAAGAACTATTTCCTATTTTCCTTCAGTTATGCTGAAGTGTGTTACGCACAAAACCATATTGACTGGCGGTACAAAGGTCGATGAATTGACATAAAGTTGTCACCAAGGGAACGTTCTGGAAACATTACAGACCATTACAATAGATAGTACTTCTACTTTTTTCAGTAAAGCTGTTTAAGTTCGTATTTTAATTGAGCTTGGTTAATTTGTTTAGTGTATCTTGCTACCGTCTTACTTAAAAATAACTGCGCTTGAGATTTAGTTGTTGGAAAGTTCATTAAAACTTGACTTACCCAATGCTTTTCAAAAACAGAATTTAGATTCATTAACAAATTTCAGAGGACCATTGCAGAGCTGAGGAGTAAATGGTTTGAGAATGGAATCCCAATTACTCAGCTCATTAGCTTACCCTGTAACATAAATTATGATGTTGTTCACTATTGTTTCTTAATCCGTTCAAACTTTGGTCTTTTGCTGTACATCACATGGTTTGAAGCTCTTACATTATCTTGCAGCCAATACAATAAAACTATTTGCATCATTTCAAAAATTCACGGTGAAAGTTTCAATATTACTTTGTTTTGGCAATGAAAACGTCATTAGCTGTAATAGTCTGAGTAAAGAAGGCACTCTGAATTCAAGGTATTGAACTAAAGGAAAATGCAATTTATAAAAAAAAAAAACAAAACTGGAGCAAACTTGTTACATATTTGCCATGAGCCATCCTCAAAGGTTGGGGCAAAAATATGATTGAAAAAAATAATTTACTATCTTTTGTGTCCCTACAGCCTAAAATAATGCTCAATAAATTTAAAATATTAATCTAAACCCCCTTTTTTTTTAAGTGGCCCTGAACATATAATTAAGCTTTTTTGAAAACCATTCCTGGAGAATAATTTTCTTCTACCATTTACAACCTGATAAAAGAAATATGCAAGTTCCAAAACTCCTAAATTAAGAGTTGAAAGTGTTGCCATGGGAAAACAAGCAAATGAAAAAAATGAATTGTTGGTGATGATCTGGAATTTGTGCTATACCATTGAGAAGCTAAAATAAACTGTGAAAAATTAGAAAAGCTATTTATCCAACAAACAATAGGGCCTAACAAAGAATACCTTCCTTGAAATAAATGTCTGAATATTCAATCAACTAAAGTGCTATTTGCACATCTTTGAGTAAATAATCAATTTGAGAGGGAAACAGCAGAGCAGCTGGAAAAACATGAAATTTAACTAAGAATTTTAAAGTAAACAACAAAGCTTTCTTTCCCCTTCCCCCCACACAAAAGAAAGAAAAATATTAGCCCTAAATTTTTCTTGCATATGTTAATCAACACTGGTTAACACTGATATTGTTTAGGTTTTTAAGAAGGGTTATGTAATTTTTCAATAGAATTTCAATTCTCAGCTTTGAAGATGGGAAGAGCCAAGCCAAGACAAAAACCGTTGATAATTCTAAATTGAATACAACTTAGAGGTAATTCAGGGCTCAAATCATGCATTCAATTAATTATTTTAAAAAAATTAAGACCTTTTAGACCAACTGCATGTATTATCACAGAAACTATAAAGGTCAAGGTAATCTTCTTTTTTATCTACAGCAATTCACATACACCACAAGCACAAATATTCAAAGGGCCTATATAAACAGTACTTTACAATATCTTCAACAATTTAAGTTTACCAGTAGAGAAAACCAACTTTTTGGAGTAACTTACGAGAAACTGAAGCATAAAAATAGTTGCTGTTCAAGCAGTGTATACCCTGATTTCAGTATACTTGGTATTTTCTGTATTTCATGATAGTCAAATTAAATTTAGGATGGATAAACTGAAGCATTGATATTGCAGAATGGCATAAACCCCGACAGATTGTCTTTAGTGGTGCGGGGGAAGAAAAATAAGTGCTCTAATAATTCAAGAGTATCTGTTTTGAATTATTATTCATAAGAGAAGAGAATTCATGGTGCGAGTTTAAATTCTTGATTAAGAACTCAACATAACTGCCCTGGTCAATTCTAAAACCTGAACTTCTCAGTCTAGTTTTCAGCGTGCTATTGAAAGTAAACAAGAATTCCAAAGCACTATAGATAAGCCCTCCCACAATTCAAGAGTATCTGTTTTGAATTATAATTTATAAGAAAAGAAAATTCATAGTAAGAGTTTAAATTCTTGATAAAGAAAGATATACTGTATTTCTCACTCACAGAAATGTCAGAGTAACAATTTAAAATGACACAGACTACATCATTTTAAATTAGAGCCTGATCATCATAATTGTGTTGAATGTTTGAGGTAATCATGGAAATAATTTTTTGTAAATGTATTCTGTGACTATTTTTATCATGAACATCTCTATAGACACCAGAACAATTCAAAGAAAGAGAAATTAAGTCTAAATGTGAGCAGAGGGAAGGTGTTAATCAAAAGCAAATAAGGAACACAGGAGCTTGAACTTCCTGCATCAGACATGTTGAACTGTGACATGATAAATCACATAAAAAATGTTCTGTTTGATACCTACACAAAAGAAAAACACGGAAAATAACTTTTGCCCCCGTCTTTTCGACCCCCAATTTGATTAAGCTACCGCCTCGCACTCAGACACCCCCTCCCCTCCCCATCTTGCGCCGTTCACCCCGCCGTCCGCTTATCTCTTGATCATGACCTCAACAGTGAGTATGTTAAAATTAATTCCGCCGCATACTTTATAACGCGAGTTCATTCCACTCTACCGACGCAACTTTAATATAGCAATAATAAATCAAGAACAGAAAAATTACCTCAAAAGACCAAGTACATGGAATCCCCACAAAACGTTTAATACATCGCCCAACCTCCACATCTTCATGCGATGTGAGCAAATGTTTCAAACAATATTCGATATGAGGTACAACCTTCTTCAAAACGCTTCTGCTTATAATGACTCCTGGACCACCCATACAAAAATTATCTCCAGAGCCCAAACCCAGCAAGCCTTTTTCGTCTTTAGATCCTGTTCCAGCTTGGCCAAGATAAATGTCCTGAGAACTATTTAGGGACTGAAGAAAGCTTGCAAGTTTCTCGGTCCTAATGTAAACATCATCATCCGAACGCATAAACCACTCAAACTGGTCGATATAGTTGTCATGCATGTACTTCAACATCATCATGGACTTTCTCTGAGGAGGGTATGAATCGTCCACGCCGGGTAAACTCACAACGGGTAATTCCATCTTAGTCTGGGACGTGCCGCTTGAGAAGAACTCTAACTTACCCGGGACGTTTCGTCCCCACGTATCATGAACTGCCTTCGCTCGCGAATCGAGAAACATCTCAGCCGTCATAACTCCAATAAAGATTAAATGTTTGGAGTTAAGCTCTTTAGACAATGTGCTCGGCCGTACGTCTCTGATAAAGTTCATATGGCAACGCCGCGACTGGACGGGCAGAAGATTCTGCCGGAGGAACAATGCCACAGTGAAGCCAAAAATCAACCCGCCAAACATCGTAACAACTCCTCTGATACTCATGTGTCTCGATTTCATGGCTTACAAAGACAAAAGTCCTTCTAGACTTTAGAAAATAGATAAATATTTTAGCAGTCTTCGAACTTTACGAGGGTATAAATGACCAGGGACTGAACATTTTAGTGAACAGTAAAGGTTTCAAGAAGTTCGCTCTCTCAGTGCCAGCCATGTTTGCTATATCCTTACGTCACCATTCACGTGCAAAATTCTCGAATATTTGCTCCAGCTTTCCGTCTCCGAGGGAACGAAATATTTGGACGGTTATCTTTCTTGCACTTTGATTTCTCCCATCTTTCCGGCCACGAGAGCGTCCTGTAAACTGCGCTTTTTCTTGTTTAAATTGTTGACTCCAGTTCAAGCCCATTGAGACATAAATAAATCATTTCGAGGACTCTCATTGGCTAATCGCCTAGTTTCACCGGCAACCATAACAAAAGAACCGACAAGAAGTAAGCTTTTCCACGCTTCGATAAATTCGCACTGTCTTCTGCTGATCGGAAAAGAAATAAAAAGAAGCGACGACAACAACCCAGTAATTAAAGCTACTCTTGGAAAAACAAGTCAAACTGAACTTTCCAGCAGCCAAAATGACTTTGTTCTTTCTATCTATTAGCACTTTTTGGTCGATGTAGTGTGAAATACATGGCAAACCGAAACTAACTGCTCATGTCAAAATTTATTTCCAGAAGGCGATCATTCATCTATCTTTACATCTAAATGACCTTAAAAAAAAATAGCACCAGGAAAGCCCTCTATAACTTGCACCCTCCGTCTTTGCGAGATCTTGTCCAAGGGTAGTGATTTTGTCATGTCAAAAATGTTCTTAGATTTCAACCCCAATTTAAGCTAAACAAATAAAGACAGTCATTTTGAAAAGCTCTTGATCAAGGGGATTAAACGCTTTGCACTCAAGTGTGAATAATCAAAACATTCTTTCATATGCTCTGATGCTTGTGTTCACTTCAAGGGATCGACAGGCTCACAACTTTGATATGACTGTCTTATCGCTCTCATACAAACTGTCAAAAGTTTAATTGCAGAACTGGCTCCACTGAAAGTTGTTACATCAAGAACATAAATTTCCTCGCCTTTTTAAAAATATTTTATATTGCGATCGAAGGCTCTCTGCTTGTGATTTCATTAGAGCTACTCTTATTAGTGTACCGGTACTTTCATTTCATTTTTTTCCTCCTTTTTTTCATCTTATAATTAATTTTTTTCTTTGTCATGCAATGATTTCTATTCTGGGAATAGACTTGAATCGCTCCCCTCTAAATCTGGCATTACATCGTCAATGAAGTCATATCAAAATTGAAAATCTTCAAAGGGGAGTTATTAGGGGGTATAAATCCTATTTCCTGATCTTGAATAGATATTTTCAAGTCCCTCCTAATTACCTCAGTCTGAATAATGCCAAATCCACCCGAGTTCTCGACTGCGGCCGACAGCTGGTTTATTCCCGCCCTCGATCCTCCCCATCGAGGGTTTCTGAGTCGGGGTTGAAGCATGAAGCAGTATTCGATTACAGTCTAAGAAATACTTTGTCACCGAGCTTCGGTGAAAATCGGAATTTATCTGTGCAAATTTTGTAAAATACAGAAAACGAAAGTCTTCAATGAAGCCGAAGTAGATCTCAAAATCGCTTTCGACTCCCGGGTGGGAGTTAACATCTTTATGGCAAAAAAATATCCGACCTCTTTCTGACCTGACTAATGTTTGATTGGGAATGAAAAGGCACGCGTTCTAATCGATAACCATGCGACATTTTCTTTGAGCAACCGTTAAAAAGAATCCCCTGTATTTATTATATTTTTGCATATTCATTGTATTCCCACTTGCGAGACGAAAATAATTAAAAAAGAAACGGAAAAAAGTGGTTACAAGGAACCGGTACTGATTTATCGCCAACATGGGGTTTGTAGGCAAATGTTGGGGATCACATCCTTTTCAAAGGGAACTGAGCGAGGATCAGTCGTCTCCGAAAGAGTTCAAAGATGGGATTAGGGAAAAGTGTCAGCCAATTAGGAGGGATCATTGGAAAACTACAGAGTCTTATAGGTGGATCAGGAAAATTTTATCACGACACAATCAAAATCTCACGACACCCCTCCCTCCCCCGTCAAGTGGGCAGGAATTCGCCAGCAGTCCAGTAGCCAGCGGATTAATTATCAAGATGGCGGCTTTGGCTGGTATTCGAGTGGTTGAACTCGCAGGACTTGCTCCTGCACCGTTTTGCGGGATGATTCTAGCTGATTTCGGCGCGTTGGTCACGCGAATAGACAAAGTAAGAACTATGTCCACTACCGATAGACTTGCTCGGGGAAAGAGGTCCATATCTGTAGACTTACAGACTCCTGAGGGGATGGCCATCGTGCGTAAGCTCTGCTTGAAATCCGATGTTTTGATCGAACCTTTTAGACCTGGAGTTATGGAGAGATTGGGATTAGGACCAGAGATACTGTTGAAAGATAATCCAAGATTAATTTACGCTCGATTAACAGGTAGTCTCTATAAAGTAGAGTCTAAGTGTTAGTTTCGGTAATTAACAACAGCAACAATCTGTAATTGGAATAACAAAAATTGCAAAAAAAACAAAAAAAAACCCCAACAGCAAAATGAAATTCATGATGTATGTCCTTTAAACAGCAAGTGTTTAGATTTTTACCTATATTTAATTTTTATTCACTGCTGGTGAAGTGACATCAACACTGGGGATTGTAAACATTCAACTCATCAAAAAGTAGACAGTAGGTAATATGAGGTGATATTTGTTAAGTTATTTTCCCCAATTTGTAAGCCTTGTATATGATGCAATGATAGTCAACTTACAAAAGTTGACTCAAGTTGAGAGAGCATTTTGCTGTTGTTATAAAACAAGAGACACACTTGTTTGTTCATAGAGGTGCTCTGAAAAGTCATTTTTATTATGTCCACTTACTCACCAATGTGGAGGTGAATAGGGGACAATATTTACCCAGTTGCAAAGTGGTGAGGTAAAAATTTACCACTTTCACCAACACTGAGATGAATAATTATTTCAGTACATACCAAATTAAAATTTAACTGTTGATGTCTCTTTGGCTGCTCAGAGGTGAGTGGTACTGGCTAGGTAATTCTAAATTAGCCAAAAGTAGACTGCATAATTAACCTGCGTGGTGTATGCTGAATTTGGATTTTTTTCCAACACAAAAGAGAGGGGGTTGAGTTAATTTCACCTACATTAACCCCTCAACTCCTGAGGTGAGTAATTACATGGGTCCATGTTGTCATTCATGGTTCATGGAGTTGAAATTCCTTTTTCCTTAATATTAAGGGTGTTATTAATAATAAAATCATCATGCTTAAAACTGAATTGCAAAATTATTTACAATTCAAAGGCTATGGCCAGACAGGATGTCATGCTAAGAGAGCTGGTCATGACATAAACTATGTTTCCCAAACTGGGCTGCTTTCAAAGCTTGGACGCAAGGATGAGAAACCCACTGCACCCATCAACCTTCTAGCAGATTTTGCAGGTGGAGGACTGTCATGTGCTTTTGGAATTTTGCTAGCTTTGTTTGAGAGATCTCAATCTGGAGAAGGCCAAGTTGTTGATGCCTCTATGGTAAAGTGTTGTTGATATTTTTATTATTGATATAAATAATATGAAAGAGAGAGCTGTGCTTGATGTTTTCTGTTAACCCATCAACTTACACATGTGGTTAACATGTCACCCTCATGGAGTAATTTTTATTTTATTAAGTCAGTTTTTAAAGATTTCTTTTGTTTATAACTGTTTTTTTTTAAACTTTTTTCTTTTTTTTGAAGGTTGATGGCGCAGCATATCTAGGATCTTTTATTTACAAGAGTCTTGATATGGGATTCATCTGGCAGCATCCTGAGCGAGGCAGGAACTTGTTGGATTCTGGGGCACCTTTTTATGATACATATCAAACAACTGATGGAAGATACATGGCTGTTGGAGCCATTGAGCCCAAGTTTTATCAAAATCTTATTAAAGGTTTGTCTTTAACATTTGTTCTTTGCACCATTAAGTTGTAAATTTAAATCAAAAAAACATTTTTAAAATTATGCTGTGATTGGTCATTGAATACCATTGAATCTGATGATTGGCTATTTAAACAAGCAGTGGCCATTTTCTTGAGCAAAAGGGTATTCTAAAGATCTTCAATTTAGCCACATTATTTTATGAATCTGACCTTAATTTGTAAAGGTTTGAGGAGAGTCTTGCTATAATCTTTGACTGAATCACTAGATTTATACAAATTCCTTACTTTTGGCCAGTCATCAAAAGTTACAACATTTTGGGAGAAAATTGTAGTTAAGAACGCTTGAATTGCAAAATTTAATGCCTTTTTTTCATTTTTGCCTATTGAAATTGGGAATATAAACCCCGCAAAATACCATTGCATTGCATCTAATTTCTTCCAGCAATTCAGATGAATGCAAAATTAAAGACCTGCAAAATAAATTACCAATAAGGTAGTCACTCCAAGGATTTTAAGGGTATAAGGTTTGCATTTTACTGAAGGTGATAAATTTTTTTAGGGCTCCAGTTGGAAGAAAAACTTCCATCTCAATTTGATATAGATCAATGGCCAAAGGCTAAAGAGGAAATTACGAAAGTGTTTCTAACAAAGACTCAGTCTGAGTGGTGGGAATTATTCAAGAATCTTGATGCTTGTGTAACACCAGTTCTCACTATGGATGAGGCACCTTATGAACCACACAATGAAGAAAGAAAGACGTTTATTTGGAGTGATGGAGCATATGAACCTACTCCTGCTCCCAAATTGTCCAGAACACCAGGCTGTTGTGAGAGCAAGCCTCAGCCAAAGATTGGGGAACATTCCATGGAGGTTTTACAAGAGATTGGTTATACAAGAACAGAAATTCAACAGTTGATTAGTAAGGGTGTGGTTGATTACGTAGACATGAAATCTTCTCTTTGACAAGGTGTAGGATGCCTTTTTTGACCAGTTAATAAAAATTTTTAGGTTCAGTACTGAGGACACAAGTTTATGGAGGCGTATAGTTGTTCAAGTTCGTACAATTTTGAACAGAATAAAAAATCAATAAACTTGTAAATAAATCCTATTGACACCCCCCCCCCCCACCACCATCACCATCATTCTCACAGAGTATGGCTGAAGATGCGTATACCAAAAGAAAAAAAAACCATCGGAATGGGTTTGAGGGGGGGAATTGTGCGATCATTCCGTCCACAATTCAGATGGTTCATTGAATAAAGCAGACGAAAAACTTTCCGCGTTACTCGAGAACACCATCCAGTCCTGAAATTGTTTAAGAGAGTTTGCCATTGTAACCTCCTAAGGTCACCCAACGACTTAAACAAGCTGCCCACCGCTTGCGCGAGTTCTCTCCTTAATCTCATACACAGACCTTTCACAGCCACGCAGTTGTAAGTTACAGTTACACAGTAGAATCTGGATATGAGATTATTTTCTCCCCGCACTAGCCTCACCCCCCGACAACTTGTAAAGAAGTCTGAGCATCAGAGTGAAGTTGTCTTTGTTTGTGACGTCTACTCGGTAAGTTGGAGCTATCAGCGATAACAATTATTTGCCGATTATTTATTACCCAAGGGATAACAAAGCCTGTTTCAAGCGTTCAGTTGGTACAAGGGCATAGCTAGCGGAGGGGGGTTCGTAGGGTGCTCGTGACCTCCTCTTTGTAAGCCTTTATTTGTCACATCAAGTAAAACACGGCGTGGAGGTTGACATGACAATCTGGTGGAGTACCCTCTTTTTGACACAGCGTGACCATTCCCCCCCCCCTCCTCCTTTGAAAAATTCTGGCTACGCCACTGTAGCAAAACGAAGCGTGATAGTAAACGTTGCGATAGTAACAGAGGAGTGAGCAAACGAGTGAGATTTGTGAATTGGCCCAAACATTCCTCGTTTTCGATTTTCCGTTAGTAGCCTATCGTTTCCTTAATTTAACGCTCTTTTTGCCACGCGAGCACCTGGAACAGGTTAGTAATTACACTGACTAAACGGCCGACTGTACCTCTCATGTACAAAACATCCATTGTATCAAAAACAATATTGACGATTTTTTCTTCTTTTTACTGGTATGTGATGTGTTGTGCACGCGTCTAATACCTGTCTTCACTTGTTAGCCACGTGGAACAGGTATATAAAATCTCACGCAAAATATTAAAGTGTTGCCCCTCAAGCTGTGATATTGTTAGCCATGAGTTTTTCTCTTTTTTTGGCTCTTTCAGATTCACTTAACCAAATTATTCGATTAGATTAAAAGTTAGCTATTTCAGTGAATTCTTTCATTGTTGTCTAATATTCACTAATAGGTCTTTTTTCGTAGATGTCGTGTCCGAACCAGAAAAGTGCATCGAGATGGTTGTCTCAGTTTTCAACTTCAAATAAATAATTGAGAACAAGAAAGTAACCAGAAAGCATGATTCGAGCTAAAAAAAAGCGTAAATATTTGTTTAAAGTTTAGAGGCTACGACTGAAACCTGGTACGGATCCGAAAAAGGTGTACAGAGTGAGGATTTGAAGAACTGAGCGGCGTCTCCCTAGGAAGAACTCTAAGGAGTACCCACCCCACCCTGGGCAAATAGTGATCCAAACCACTAATCCCGCAGTTTTATCACATCATCGATCCATACAAGAGGACGTTCTCCTTCAGGTGAAAAAAGACCCTGCTTACAAGTGAATTAACCTCTTTTTTGCAACTCTTTTTTTCCATATGTTTGGCGTGTTGAGTATTAAGCCTTAAACAAGTTCCTAATTGCCGCGAGTCTGAGCAAGTTCTTGTTGCTCCGGAATTGAAATTGACACATGTTATTCCAAATTTTCCTTCATGCATTAAGCTACTATATCTACCTGAGGCTTCCGTTTCCCGTATGTAGTGTTTGTTTACTCAGAACGGTGTTTCAGATAAGCTCTTGTCTTGGCTATGTGCCTGGTTTCTGAGCGATGCATCTGGCTAATTGGCCAGGAGCCATTGTTTCATCTGGCTTTAACAATAAAAATCACCTCTATTCACTGTCTCTGTTTTGTGACCCAAAGGCATCTAATTTTGTGAGAACAAAAGACAGGCCTGGTAAAAGCCTTACCCAAAGCAAAATATACATCGTTTATGGCGTGCGTCTGCTATAGCTTACTGGTCAGTATGTTGTTGCGTAATTATTCCTGAAACGAAACGTTCCCCGATTTAATTTTTAATATTAATGGCGAATCTAGTAATATATACCTTGAATAAAATTGTTTACCATGAACTTAGCGGATAAGCGCGAAGGCATACAGCGAAGGCGGGCTCAAAAATTAAAAACTGCGCCCAATAATCTTGCGAGAGTTCGACCTGAAAGGAAACTGATCCAATATCCCGTGTACTGCTCCCCAGGCTATGAAAACGTTGGCTGTGCAAGCTGATCTGGTCCTCAAGTTCCACTCCCTCCGTTTATATCTAAAACTTTCAGAATGCTATACTTTAAAACATGTCATCAAACTATAACTTATTAGTTAGGCGTGGCGAATTCTCCCGATCTCTGACTCTGTTAAAAAACTTGTAAGGTCAAGGGTCTCGCAAATTGTCGTCAGATAGGGCTTCTATGCGTTTTCAATTTTCGTATCGGTGTGTCTCGCGGAATCGTCGGATTTTTTTTTTTTCCTTTTTAGTCTATAATTGTGAATGAATACTGTCTGCCTCGGAGTGTGGTAAATATTTTTTTCATTGAACCCCTATAGATTTGATAGCCAAATATAATGCTTCGTAGAAAGAGACCCAACAGTCCAACAGCCACAAGAAAACAAAATAAGTTGAGCTCAGATAAGAGTGACAAGGCTTGTCAACACTTCTGAAGACTTTCGCAGTCTAATCAGAGTCGCCCGTATAGGAAAAGTACTAGTCTCGCAATATTTCACCAAGAGCATCGGCATGGCATGGCCACCCCTCATGACAAACACCATTATTGAAAACCCCTGAAGCAAATTGATAATACATAAAATAAAAAGGATAATTCTCCCGACCAGTCCTGTTTTTTTTAAGGGCACAATGGATTATTTTATTCAGATTTCTCTGAATCTGCGAGCAATTCAGTTACGTGAGCGAAAGATGGGTTCCATGTCCCAGACATGGATTGATTTGTACGCACAAAACGAGAATGATTTGTTGCTTCATTTTTCCCGATCAGAAAAGTCACGGTCTAAAATACGTATACGATAATTCTTCGTAGATCCGAACAACTCTGATATATGTAAAGGGCTGGGAATTTTGGCATCTTTCACAGAGGTCCATAAATAGCAGCGCTGCAACGTAAATTGCTGGGATGAAACTCCGTGTTATTCCTTCGTTTCAACCTTCCGGAGTCTCAGGAGGTATCGAGCGATTGAAGATTTCACTTTTTGAAGCTGATAAAACTGTTCTTAAAAAGCTAAACTGTTTGAAACTGATTATGAAAAGGGACCGAAAAAGCTCCTAAAAGCCTGGAGGTGGCATTGACAAATGTTACTGCGCTCACTGAAAATTTTGTCAATTTTGGGTGACAAACGTTTTGCAACGAGTCAGATTTCCGCACGTCAGCTTCTTGTCCCGTGATATCATTTAGCAGCGCCGTTACTTATCAAGCCACTGCCTTGCGTAACAGGCTCGTCTCAGATGAGATCCACAAACTGACCCCACATCATTACAAAAATATTTTTGTAACCGATTCCAAAAAAGATTGCCCTTTAAGAGAGAAACAAGATTTTTATATTGAGTTACATAGTATGAAATGTCGAATGACTTCCCTCTTCCTTAGTCCATTGTTGAGTGGGTACAATTTCCTGTTTCCTGAAAACAGTGGGTCTATTGATGTAAAGTGCAGTGAGGGTCATTTCAACTCTTTCCTCTCATAATTTTTTATTCTCCATCATTTTAGAGTCTGTCTACTGTCCACAAAGCGCTCCAAGGACAGGCACTTTAGAGGCATCCAAACAGCTTTCCTTTTTTTTATTCCACAGAGCAACGACAGTAACTTCGTTCCCAGGGGTCGAAAAAAAAATTACTGGAAAGACACGGCTTTGTCCACCGCCTCACATGAAAAAAAGATTCTTAAAAGCCTCAAGTAAACCAAGGGTTACCACATCTTGCGTAATTTTTTCCTCGCGTCTCGTGTTGTTATTGTTGTTGCTGTTGTTGTTTATTATTTTTCATTATTATTTTATTTTTTATGGGCAGTTCTGTCCCGTTAAAGTTTAGAATGATGATGTTAAATGAATTAAGTTAATGAAATGGTAGTACGAGTATTAGCAAGTTAACACGGTCATATGTTATCAAAATACTATTACTTGTTTCGGAGCTGAGACCCGTTTAAATTAGTATCCAAAACGTATTCCATGAAGATAGTTGAAGTATCCTTTTTCCGTAGTTAAATCTTTGTAATCGTAACACTTGAGTTGTGAGAGCACAGCATCCTTTCGAGAACGGGTAGTTCTGTGTTTTTGGAGTGTACACTTTTTCCATCTTTATCCGATGCTCAAAATGGCGATGACCGCATAGGTAATATTACTGACTAAGCTATCACGCACGTGATTAAAGTGCAAACTCGTTTTACCGGAAACTCGTTGACTCAGTTGTTTCATTAACACAAAACGCGCCAAATGATGACAGGTTCTTTTGTTTTCGGAGCACGTACAGCAATCGATTTCCAATCGATAGCTGCGAGTTATTGGGCCACGGGATCATGACGTCAAATCTTGCCCCACCAAGGAGAGCAGCTACTCTTACCTAACTAGAATTTCTGTAGTGCGTCATCGGGATTCATGTTTTGAAATTCGGTACGGTATTGGAAGGTCCAGAATACTTATCTAGACATGTTCAAATTAGTCCCGGGACATGCTACATCATCCGACATTTAGGGGAAAGGTTACTTAAGAGATTCAAACGTGCACTGGATGCGTAACTTGTGAGGCCTCTTCGCTCGTAAACATGTACACAATCTGGTTCGTGGGTCATCGATCTACAACGTGGTCATACTTGGTTGTCCTTTTAGTGTTTTGCTCCATTCTACAGCGAGCAACAGCTCAGTTGCATCTGTTTATCACAAACGAGGATGCCAACACACATCTAAGTGAGTATATGTCTTTCAAGAAAGGTAGCAAGTTTGTAAATAGTTCGCAAACCATGTGGATCGAGGGAGAAGAATCATTCGCGATGGCTTATTCTGTATTTCAGAGATGAACTTCCAGGGAAGATTGTACCTCATTCGCGATGGAGAACCAAACACTATGGTGCAGAATCCTGGTGCATTTTATCGTTTTATGTCACCGTTAGATTCATCGGTTTCAACGATTCAGCTAAGCTGGTTTTCATCTCCGCAGGTGAGTACGACGTGATAAGCGGGAGTGATATATATACGATTGTTGGGTGTTTTGATTCTCACTGAAGTCGAACAAAGTCCATCAGCCTGTCTCTGTGAATGATTTGTCGACTTCGGGTTAGTGTTTAGTCATAGTTATTATTTATTTTAGTTTGTGCCTCAAATTGAGGAGGAAAGAAAGATTTCCGTGCGTTTCTGATCATTTGAATGAAAGGGTTCTCTTAGCACTCTAGTAGCACAATACTCCACTTTACGCAATGCTAATTTTGTAGTGTATTTTTTTGTCATCTTACTTCATTCATGTGACGTTCCGCGAACTATTTTCGTCTTAGAAATCAGATGATTATGTTCCAGAAAACATTTTCGTCATTGAATAGTCGTTCTGATGAAGAAAACTTTGCCAAAAACGCCAATATTATAAACACGAAGAATCGGGGTATTTTGTTTTGCATGGCCGGAATGCATTCTTTCTTCCCCTATTGTTCGCTTAGCAATGATTCTTAACGATCGAAAATCGGCAATTCTTTCTTCGGTTCGAGTGCTGAATGCTTCAGATCTTCCTGTTCTAAGCTTTGAAGGAATCAAATGAAAGGTATTAACGATATCGGCGATCTAAGGGTTTCGTGTTGACGGTTTTAGCGTGGACCATTAAGTATTTGTCGTTGTTTATTTAAGCCGGACTGATCGCTCTCTGTCTTGAATGAATGGAATTGTAATGTGGTGTTTTTCAAATTGTAAGCGATCGGACAAGCCATTTGGAGCATTTTATCAAAAAATGTGATGTATGCTGATGTCTGGAAAATTTCTGTCGAAAAGGCAATCTAGAATATGACTCTGGGGGATAATGCCGTTGATTTTTTTACGCCAATATTCTAAGCTTAGAGTTGGCAATGAACTTTAGGAATGCATGTGCTTGTGTTTATTGTTCTTTAAGAAGATTTAGCTGAGGCAAGTCTGTAAAATGTCCGTTTTCCAGTGGTTTTCTAATTATTTGCTCCCGTTAAATCATTCAAACGTGATCTTGCCACAATATCATTTCCTACTCCTTGAACTGCGAGCCTTCAGAATTGGATTTTAGTGTAGTTCCGTTGGGCTCGAGCGTTTCCTGTTGTGGCCTCTGAAAGGCACGTAAAAGCTTGTTTTTATCATGGATAATTCAAGATTGCGGAGGAAACAGCTGAACAATATCAACTTGATAAGCCAAAAGCTTGTTAAGACACGGTAGGGTACGATTTAAGATGTGATGAAGGCACCTTGCCAAGCAGAGGAAAACAAAACAATAACGAGTAGTCATTTAGTCTAACCACTTGGTTTGCAATAAAGTTGGCGTCCATTATAATCATTTCATCCATAATGGCATTTCCTATTATGCTACAAGTTGAATATTTGACTCTCAAGAAACAATTTAATGTTTATGGTGTCAGTTACACAACTTAAATATCCTTTTTTTTTTTTTTTTTTTTTTTTGCCAAAGCAAAATAACTTGAGAAATTGATCAATCATGAAACCACAGATTCAGTGGCTTCCATTTAAGATTCTGTGCGAGAGCTACAATCAACATAACTCTATTGGGAAATTTCAGTCTGAATTGTTTGATTTTCAAACATGTCTTAGTTTTGACAATCAAGCATAAAGAGGTAGTGTTGCAATAACTTAAAGGTCCTCTGATGATATTGTTTCAGGGCTTTGTCCAAAAAGCCTTGGCTGAAATTAATTATTTCAAAAGAAGAGATAACACTTGATTTTTTTAGGAGTTTATTCACTTTAACCCTTTAACTCCTAAGATCTGATTGTTAATTCTCCCCTCTATCTGCTACACATATCCTTGAATCAGTGATGAGAATTTAGTGTTAGATCAAAATAAAAACTTCTACCAGACACGTTGGAGTATTCTGAATACATGTTTGCAGGATAATGTATGATTATTATGGGGAGAAATTCTTTATTAATCACCTCAGGGAGTTAAAGGATTGAAAAAATTAAAATGTTGTAAATTTGCATGTGAGCATATTGGCAGGAAATTGTTGGGTTGTAACAAAATATCTAAATAAGCTGGAAAACTACTTTGAGGATTGTATCAAATGCAATTTTCAAAACCAAAGAGCTTTAATATTCTATTCTGTTCTTCAGTTTTTTAATAAAGTTCTGCTCACATAGTGGGTTGGAATTGGTGAAAATAAGAGGTTTTGAACCATTTGTGACAATTTCATCCTCCTATGTTCACCTGATATTATGAAATAGCAGAGATACTCTTTAAGTCTGTTACTCACAAGCAGGAGGCAAGTGACTAACAAACTTTTCTCTTGTTCTCCTGATAACTAAACTGAGTACACAGAGCTATTTCATAGGTGGATCTTTCCTTAGAATTAACTTTTACACTCTCAGGGGTTACATAAGAGGAATTTCTCCACATATCTTTTGGGAAATTCTGTGTGATTCAGCAACAATTTCTCAGAAGCAAAATTATAAGATGTGTATGGTAAACCGTGCAGAGGATCGCTTGCTAGATCTTGGATATGTGGTGGTTACGGAATTGATGATGTCTTCTTTTACAGGTCTCACACTATAGCATGAGCTTCAAATCAAGTGATCATAGTATCATGCCTGATCCTCATGCAGCCACTCCTTTGGAAGGAATTGTTCCACAATCTCAAAAGGTGTGAATGACCTGTCTTTACAGGTTCACATTTTAGTGTTTTGTACAAACACTGAATTTTAAAAACAATCCATATGTTTGTTTGTTTGTTAGCAGAAGTAGTTAGTACAATGCATGCAGTGAGAGTGCATCTTAACATGTTTTGTTAGCATTTTAAGTTAACTTGATAAGTACTCTCCAAGAAATAGTTTGAAACATCTGAGGGGGGGGGAAGTATACTTGATAAGGAAAATGATTATCAATGGACTAAATGTCCTGTACAAGGTACAGTTTATATGTATATACACTACAAACAAGGAAGATCCTTGCTAAAACTGAATTTCAACTAAGTTTTTCAAAGTATCTTTCTGAAGATACTTCTTTCTATCTTGCAAGCAGGTGCATTGAAAGCGTTCTTGCTTCCAAAATGCAATCATTGTCAAAGGGAAAGGCAAAAACTTTCTGAAGGGACCTGTTGCTTCTTACAAATTCTTCACACAATGAAGTCATATTTTCTTAATTATTAATTGGCATCCTAGGGTGGAGTGGGTGAATGTTTTTTGTTTGTTTTTTTTTTTTTTAATTTTTTTTCAGAATTGTACTTTCCTGAATAAAATGTACTGATTTGTCGTGTTGTTTTGTCTCACAGCCTTTCAGGTTTCCTTCTACTGTCCTGGTACTACTGAGGGAGAAGTTGATATGACATTTTCCTTGAACTACACCAGAATTGTTTCAGGCTCAGTGGATACGGAGGAGATCAAAAGTTTTATGCTCATAGTGAGAAGGCGTTGTGAAAAAACAGGTAATTGACATTGAATAAGACACTATCATTTTGCTTTTCTACAGGGTTTTTTTTCTTTCTCAAATTCCTTGTTTGTTCAGATCAGTGTCTTATGAGACATTCAAACAGAGCTTAACTGAAAATTACTCAGTCATCATTATCATTGTTGTTTTTGCCTTCTTGCTATTCACTTTGATGAAACAATTCTTAACTTGCCTGGACGGAAGCTTCAAGATTTATTTTTGTAGATCAATTATCATTTTTGACACTTTACCCTTCACCCTCATGAGTGGCCAAGACATCATTTCTCTTTCCAATATAAATATGATACCAAGCAGACAAATGATGAGATTACAGAAAAATGTCAACTTGGATTATTAGTTGATCCAACACCAAATGTTTACATGAAATTCTCTGCAGATGGAAATGACAATTTCATCAAACAAGTTACATCCTCGCCATGGTCACGCAGTAAAGTTGTGGGAATCTGTGCAGGCTTGACGACTGTTATTATATCTGTTGTTGGGCTGGTGTTACTGTTTCGTTATTGTATGAGACAGAGGAAGTTGAAGATAGAGTTTGAAGATGATGTGGAAATGTATCGCAGCAGCAGCAGGTTTGTTACTTAGCAGTCTGTCCTTTCAGTGGTTGTGCATCTTTGAAAGCTGCTGACTGTGAATTTGTTGGCTATTGTAAAATAGGGTTGGCAATTTTTCCTCTTTGTTTTTTTTCAGTAGTAGTATGGTCAAACCTTGATTATCCAGACCTCAATCATCTGAATTTCTTGATCATTCAAACTTTTTCCCTGGTCCCAATTTTGTCATGAATTTTTATTAGTCATGATCAAGATCTGTAGCCCTCTTCTTTTTAAAACTACAGTGTTGAAAAGTAAAGTGAAGGCAAGTTTTGCTTTCAAAAAGCAAAAGCAGAGCTCACACGCGTCATAACTAATGAAGAACATTTGATTGAGGTCTGATTGGCTTAGAGTTGCTTTGTTGCTACATGAGATTTCACACTCTATAGGCTCTTTCAGCATGGTATGCAAGATAAACAAGTTATTACACAGCATCACGAATGGTTATTCACAATCATCGTGTCCTTGAACCATGAGCGATCTTTTCTTTCGATTAAATGTCGCTTTCTTAATTTAATCAGTTTTTGTTCCTAACTGATATTCATATTTTCAACTATCTGGACCCTCGATTATCCAGACTATTTCATTTTGTCCCAACAAGTCCTGTTAATCAAGGTTTCAGTTTTCAACTTCTACCTCCTGAGCTCATTCACAGACAAGTGATAAGATAGTTTTCTTATGAATAGAACATGTTATGTATTGTGTTTGTAAGTCAACAATAGGTTTTAGAATTGTGCTCTGAGGTCATCTAAGGTGGTGGGAGATTTTCTACTAAAGATGTTGAGTGAAATTGATTTTTTAACTTAAATGTAAGAATCAGTGTAAACATTTCTATGACACAACATTTTTTCAGTGAAACTTCAGGTCTTTGTATCGCGTACCTTTATTCTTTTATGTTTACTGAATATATTTCCTTTGATACCTGACAAAATTCTCTTTTGTAAAAAACCAGTTCATCCAAGATTTACAAAAAAGAAGAGCAACAAGAAGAAGAAGTTGATGAAACAGTGGATTCTTCAAAGCCAGGACTGTTTTACAGCCCACCAAGGCCTAATTATCAACCTCCAGGAGGAGGAGGAGGAGGAGGAGGAGGAGGAGGGAGAGGGCGTGGCCGTGCTAACACAAGTGGCAGTGACTCCTCAACAACTGATCTGATTATTCCTGAGGAAAGTAGTGATATGTGTATTCAAAAGCAATCAGAGGGAAAGTACAGCAGTAGAGATGGCAGACATGGAGTAAGACATAAACATCGACGACATGAACGGCAGTGGAAACATGGAAGCTTGTCTAGTATGTTTGTTTGTTTGTTTGTTTGTTTGTTTGTTTGTTTTTTTTCACATGGGTGTGTTTGGGCTGTTCGGAAACTGTACCTTCTGGTAAATTATGTCAGTTGATTCATAATTATGTAAAGGGTTTCATTTCATTCTCTCTTTATTTGGTGCAGATACAAAATACACTTGGATACAAGAGAGACCTTTGTCATCTTATCATGAAACAGAATCTTTGTTGGAGAGAAGAAATAGTAAGGGAGTTTTTTATTGATTTTTGTTTTGGTAAATCAAGTCAGTTGTTACATATGTATTGGTTTTAGTTGTCAATAACATATTGACTGCACTAGTGTGTCCTTATTACAAGTAGATGTATTAGTTTTTTCTAACTAATAAAGATTTTTTTTCACAGCTCCTGATGAAGCTCAGAATACCGGAGGACTTTTTACAGTATTAAATGAATTTTGGGCAACAGAACTTGCAGATGTTTTAATACCTAGAGACCAAGTGTCAGTTGGAGATCCTTTGTATAGAGGTTAGTTAGATGCAAAGAACTTTGGATGTTATTTCATTTCCTGGCACATAAACTTGCTTTTCCTCTTTTAAATTTTGATTACTGAGCAACATGGCTGACAGTTAGCCCCTTGGGTTTAAGTGTAGTTATTAACAGTAAGCTTTTAAGATCAGATTGGCTTATAAATATACAATCACATTCCAATTACTGTAAAGAAAGAGGTAAATTGTTTCAAGCTACAATTGTCATGTGCCAATTTATTCCAAGTGTTCCAATGGTTTAAAATAACTGTCTGTGACAGGGAAAGTTGATTCGTTTGTTCACCATTGGAAATTTATTTTGCAGGAACATTTGGATGTTTGTACAAAGGTTCTGTTCGAGGACTAAGTGAAGAGCAACCTCGCAAGAAAATGGAAGTGTCCATCAAAGCACTTCAAGGTAAGACCAAACCTGAAAGTCTTCTGGAGTTTGTGTCTAATACAGTGATCTGGTGTCATCTGGAGTAGGATAGTGGAGTAGGACAGTGATCTGGTGGAGTAGGACAGTGATCTGGTGGCGTCTGGAGGAGGATAGTGCAGAAGCACAAATGACCTTTGTTAGGCTTTTCAAAGACAAAGTGCTAATACTCCATTTAGTAAATTTGAGGAGTTTTTCCATTTTACTTGTGGATTTGTTAAGTGCAGAAACAAGTAATGTGGGAGTTTGATATGCAAAAATTGTGACATTATCATGGTCTTAGTTTAGGGATAGTATGCATCATTTTAAAGGAGTTATTTTTGTGCACTTGTGTGAGGTTTTGGTTGGCCATGGAGGTGTTTGAATAACTTTTTGTGAGGTTTGTAGTTCCCTACTGCATTCTTTTCTTCAACTAATTCAATTCTTTTAATGAAATATTTTAAGTGCAGTACAGAGTCCTGTAGAGTTGTGTTTTGACTCAGTTTTATCCTTCACAGATGAAGCAGACATGGACACCATCACTTCTTTTATGCAGGAAGCAATGGTCATAAAAGGCTTCAAGCATCCAAATGTTGTGGAACTGGTGGGTGTGGTGCTTCAACGTTCAACGCCACCTTACATCGTAACTCCCCTAACACGAAATGGAGACCTAGGACACTTTTTGAAGATTTCAAGAGCAACATCTGCAAGAGTACAGGTGAGAACACAAGAACAGCATCAATAGGGAGTGTGGAGACAGTCTACTGTAAGAAATGGTTGGGATTGTTGGCCAGAAATTGGTGTACCTCTGATCATTAGACCAATGAAGATTACAAAGGTAAAGAAAGGTAGAATGTGTTAGATCTTTAAATAAAAACTTTGAATTGATTTTTTTTCCCAGACAATAACCTCACGCCAGCTTATTGAGTTTGGAATTGAGATCTGCAAAGGAATGGATTATATCACTCAGAAAAAGATTGTTCACAGAAATCTTGCAGCAAAGAACTGCATGTAAGTATTTCTTATCTAAGTTTGCCTTGTGTTTCATATAGTTGCCTTTTATCTTAGTTTTCTTCTTTTTTGCGAAGAATGTAGATGATTCAGGTTTGTAATGATCAGGAAAATAAAGATTTTTCAAACATTTGCACTCTATCTTATAGGCAATCTAATTTTAATAGTTTTCACTTTGCAATTGATAGTCACATGCCCTAGGTTACTGCTGGTGTAAAGAGGCTGTTGCTCTGACTGAGTATTTGGGTTAATATATTTCCCTGCATTTTGAGATGATGATTTATAAAATAATTAAGAAGGGATTGGGTTTTCCATCTCAGGAAATCAGACTTATCTGAAAGTGTTTTCCTTTAGTGTCAATGATGATTTGAGTATCAAGATCACTGACTTCAGTTTGGCCAGAGATGTGAACACAACAAACTTGAATGACAAGGGAATACGGTCCAGATTACTTGTCAAATGGACAGCACTTGAGGGTTTAGCAGAGGAGGGTCAATTTTCAGAAAAAAGTGATGTGGTATGTTTCATTTCTTTTTCACTCTTTGAAGATAAATTTGGTTTTGCCTGGCTTGTCAAAATTAGGACTCTAATTTATATTGCAAGCGCTCAGCTGGTAGTTCATCATTAGCTTTAAACATTGCATAAAGATTAAACCCTTGAGGAAGAGATGAATTTGAAAATTGTACTTGCAAGTTAAGAACAAATCAGTGTGCTTATTCTGCACAGTGTTATCTATACATTTCCGATAGAACTGCATAAGAGAATTTCTTTAACAATAAAGAACTACATAAGTTAGTGATTATTTCTTTTATTCTCATGACCCTGATGTTTGATTTAGTGGTGAAACACTGAGGAGAATTTGGATGCTTACCACTCTTAGAGATCAAATTCTTATGAGTGGCTTACAGAGGAATATATCACCATCAGTAAAGAGAATATGCTTGTAGATCATGGAAAGGAATCAGGGATACTTGAGCAATTGTTATCACAATGACATTGACTTTGCACAACAGCAACAGATTTTACAGGTTGTGGCCTTGGTGTCAGCCTGTTTATTGATATGCTTCATTGTTGTATAAATGACTCATATGTGGCATTTATTCCTTCACAGTGGTCATTTGGAGTTGTTTTATGGGAGATTGTAACTCTTGCTAAGGCACCGTATCAAGCTATTGACAGTTCAAAAATGGAGCAGCATCTGCAAGCTGGACATAGATTACCACAACCTAATAACTGTCCGTATGACTTGTAAGTTTTGTTTCTTGTTGTATGTAAACTTATCAGGTCGAGGTTATCTTGATCAAACACCAAATTCTCATAACTAGGTTACAACAAAATGTGTAACAGCTGGAGGGGGGGAATAAACAATGAGATCTTGGTAGTTAAAGGGTTATGGCATTGTTTTGACCTTCACTGTGTCTTTTTGCAGATATTTCTTAATGAAAAACTGCTGGGAATCCAGTCCAAAAGCAAGACCAACATTTAGTCTGTTATTAAAGCAATTGGAACACTACTCCACAAGGCTGGTGCAAAATGGACTCAAGTTTGAATATCTACCAGAGTCTGACTGTTGATGAAGGGAAATTTGTTGCTTTTCTGGGCTTATTATTACCACTTAAATATATAATTTTTGTACTTGTGGCTGTATCATAGGAAAAAAATAATTTTTGTACATTGTATAGGTTTATCAAATTATAGCCATTTAAAATTCAAGTAGCCTTATTTCAGGTATGTTCGAAGCGTGGCAGTTAAAAGATTCTTTGGTTGTTACATTAAAGGTGGCTGTTTGGGTGGGTCAGTTTTTTAAAAATATTAAGCCACTATTTAATGAAATTGAAGGCAAAGTTTTGCTTTTGAAAACACAAACATGTGGGAAGACTTCCATTTTACAAAATTGTAGGTTATGGGTCAGTATTTTTGTAGGATTTTTTCAGTGTTGCTTGTAGCACTTTTCTTTTCCAATGTTGTGTTTCACATGTCAATTGTTAAGTCATATGGTAAAATGAAAACTCATATTTCATTGGGAAGTTTTTGTTTCTGAAGGAAGCCCCTGTGCACAGGAGCGTAATCTTCTTGAGATAGATCACAATTTTTGATTGTAAAGCTGTTCTTCAAATTAACCTGCTATATTTTTCATAGTGATTTACCATTGTTTTGCTGCTATAAAATTCTATGCCTTTTTTTTTCTCTTGTGCTGTCTGGTAACATTGTTAAGTTTCCCTAGTTACATTTTACTGTTGCAGTATAACTGTGATTGGTGGCATTCGTTGTTTGGTTTCAAAGTTCACATGGAAGTCATTTTGTAAATACAGTATCCATTGTTCCATTTCCAATTTTTCAGGGACATGTTTTATATTCTAGTTATGCTTTGTTCATCTTGGTTGTTGAAAATCAACATTTGAGTAGGTATCATAAAGTTTTACCCCTTATATTGCTTCATCAGGCCATTCATTAGAAAACTCTATGTTGTTTGGTAAATCATATTTGGGTTAATAGTATCAAAACAAGTTTTAACTTTGTCCACAGCATGTCATCAAACTTATTGCCTTCAGACCCTAAAGAGCTTATATTATTAATTAGCTAACCTACAAAATTAAATCACTATAAATTGTTATTTACTTAGTAAGAAGGGAGTATTTTTCTACTAAGTTTCCAAAAAAACTCCAATATTAACTTTTTTTAAAACATCATATTTGCTCACCAATCTTAACTTTGGTGGGTGTTGAATGTTTTTCAAAAGAGTAGCACAAGTCCCCCTACCAGATTTGGACAATTTAAGGGCAACATAAAATTTTTTGCAAATAAGCTCAGTGTTTATGGTTTTGGAAAATGTAAATTATGTTTTCCAAGCCATTTTCTGAGACATATTGTTAGAAAATTCTGTTACAGGCTATTTTGTACATTTAACACAGTAAAATTTTCAAAACAGTTTGTTTTGCAACATTGTTTATGGAGATGCTGGGATTGGATCATATTTTCGAATTAGCAGTAGAAAGCTGCTGCAAATGTTAATCTGTGTATGGAGCTTACTAGAATTGTAGTTTTCAAATTTGTTCTTTTGGTTCATGTTCAGATTTGTACAGTGTAATTAGTTTTTTTTTGACGGGATGTTAGTAATAGAACGTCTCAAAAGTATAACAGAACGAGCGCATTTTTCTTTAGCGTACTGCATAATGTATGGCTTCTCTTTATAACTTAATCTCATAACACGGTTGTTAATAGTGGTTGGTTAATTTTAATGCAGTAAAGTGTTGTGGAAAAACGTTGTTTCGGAGCCAAAGTTGAGCCGCTTGCTTAAAACATACCTTAGAATGAAGATATGTAGATACAGTATTAATAAAATGTTTTGTAAAGAAATAAACACATATCACGTTAAAAGTAATAGCCAAAAATATATATGATGTAAATAGTGATTTTAAGGTAACTGTGTCTTTGAATGGTGGATCCTTCTGGCAATAAACATGTAATTTAGCATTTCTTGTTGGGCATGAATTGTTATACGTTCTGTCAGAAATGATTTAGCTTTGGTGATGAGACTCTGAAGGTCACTTCAATTTTACATCTCATATTGGAGTAATGTTGCAATATTGAAGCATTTCATGCAACAGTTACTCTGATATGCGGTCTTTTCACGCAATGCGGGAGAGAACGCGTTGCGTGACGAGATAAACGACAGCTGCGAAGGAGAGGTTATGTTTCGTAACTCTGTACACCCCAACATCATCATGCAGATTCTCCATACTGTTCTCCATACATGTCTTAAGACTCTGACATAAAGAATTTGTTTCATAACCATCGAGCGCATCGTCAGTTGGTGATCATTTCCGTTTTTCTTGTGACCTTTATATTTCATTTTATAAATGATATTATTAAGAGAAATTAGATGCCTGTCACTTCTCCTGGGTTTAAGTGTTAAGCTGCATGAAAATTTAATTTAATTTAATAATAAGTTCTTATATAGCGCATTAAAATTGAACTCTATGCGCTTTACAATTACAAATTAACAAAATTTCGATAAAAATCCTATACATGCAATTCGCTACTCTATCTAAACTAATGAATTATTACGTGTTATGCATATGTTTGACAACGTACGATATCAAATAATCTGGTGGCTTAATTTTTTGAAAAGATGAGTTTTCAATAAGCGTTTAAAGGAGTCAACAGATTCGGCGTTTTTTATGCATTCAGGTAGTTGGTTCCACAAATACGGTGCTGCGTAGGAGAATGCTCTTTGCCCATACGTTTTAGTTCGAATTGTTGGGACCTCAAGTAGATTCATATTTGATGAACGGAGGTTTCGTGCTGGAATATATCGACTAAGAAGTTCAACAAGATAGGTTGGAGCCATGTCATTTAGTGCTTTGTATGTTATCAACAGTATCTTGAATTGAATTCGTTTTGTGACCGGGAGCCAATGAAGTTTCCTAAGTATAGGTGTTATACTGTCTCTTGATTTGGCACCGACTAACAAGCGGGCAGCTGTGTTTTGGATCCGTTGGAATTTTTCGATGTCACAAATCGGTAGACCGTACAATAGGCTATTACAATAATCAAGTCTCGATGAGATAAAGGCGTGTATCAATCTTTCATTTTGCTGCGTCGAGAGGTATTTACGAACGCGACCAATATTTCTGATTGCTAGAGACGACGATTTACAGATGGAATTTATATGCGAGCGTAAGTTCATCACAGAATCAAGCATGACGCCTAGGTCTCGGACAGTATTAGATAAATTAATGATATCATCTCCAATATTGATATTACAGAAAGGAGGATTTTTGAGAAGCGTGAGAGGAAATGAATGATTTCTGTTTTTGAAGGGTTGCACTGCAATCTGTTTTTCTTGGCCCACCCATGATTGCATTAACACATGATTTCAATCTTTCCATGCCTAGCATTCTGTCAGAGGAGTTTATCTTTATGTAAAGTTGCGAATCATCGGCATATATCATACAGTTTAGGCCATGTTCAGCAACAATGTCTTCTGTAGGCGAGGTATACATTAGAAAGAGTAGTGGACCAAGTACTGATCCCTGGGGTACGCCGTAGGAGATATGTCGAGGCTTAGAGATAGAGTGATTGATCTTCACTGACTGAACACGATGTTCTAGGTATGATTTGAACCATTTTAGTGCGATACCTCTAAATCCGAAACGTTTCTCCATTCTTTCAAGTAATATGTTATGGTCGATCGTGTCGAACGCAGCGGAAAGGTCTAGCAAAACAAGTACTACTTCTTCTTTTTGATCTACAGCTCTTAGGATGTCATTTGAGACTTTTATTAAAGCAGTTTCAGTGGAGTAGTATTTGCGGTATGCTGACTGCATCGCTGGAAATAACTGGTTCTCGGCCATAAATCTGTATATTTGATTTGCGACCACCCTTTCGATTGTTTTTGAGAGAAAAGATAGATTTGCAATCGGTCTGTAATTTGAGAGACAGTTCGGGTCCAATGAAGGCTTCTTTAAAGATGGACATACCAGGGATTGTTTTAACTGATCAGGAAATTCTCCGTTAGCCATGGAGGCGTTGATAATCTTGGTTATAATTGGCGTCAAGTGTGGAATTGACTTTAGAATTCGTGTTGGAATGGGATCCAGTTGACAAGACTTAGTTGGAGATTGAACAATAAGTTTGTGAACAATATCAGCAGATACAGGTTGAAAAATTTGGAACGACGAGGTGACTGGATAATTGACGTTGATGTCGGGTGCTTGGGCAGTATGGGAGTCCAAATCTGATCTTATTTTCTCAATTTTTTTAAAAAAAAATCGTTGAACGTTTCGGTCAATGTATCCAATGAATCATTATTAGGGAGTTCAGCAATGTTCTTTGATAAGAATAGGCGAGATACCATCTTGAATAGTTGTGTTTGGTCAGAGGAGCTGATCAGAGTCCGATAATAGTTTGTCTTTGTCGCTGTTAGAAGATCATTGTAGTGTTTGCAGGAATCAATAAATATTTCTTGGTGAATTTGAAGACCAGATGAAATATATCTTCTTTCATGACGACGTTTGTCTTGTTTAGCCTTACGAAGTTCATCAGTATACCAAGGAGAATGCGGTCGCAGAGTGACCCATCTCTCGTTCACAGGAGCATGTTGATCAAAGATAGACGAGAGATTAGTATTATATTGTGTAGTCAGCTCAGTTACACAAGACTGTGGATTAGTAATGAGATTAGATTCTTCGATGTCTTTGATCATACTAGCTAAATCGAGCCTTTTGGTGTTTCTGTGTTTAACATGTAGTGTAGAAGGTTTCGGTTTTGTACATTTCACCTTACAAGTAACCAAATTATGATCTGAAATATTGTCGGCTGATAGAATGCGAACATCCGTTATAACATTATTCTCTTCACGAGATAATATCAAGTCCAATGTGTGGCCCAGGCGATGAGTGGATCCAGATACATTTTGAATTAGATCAGTGGACTCAAGGAGATTTAGAAAGGAGGCAGCTTCAGGATTTGATAGATCATCAACATGGTAGTTAAAATCACCGGCAATTATAATGGGCTGCCTTGATAATGTAAGTTCTTCAAGAAAAGATGAGAATTCTTGCAAAAAGCTATTTCCAGTGTTGTTCTTTTTGCACAGAGGAGGGCGATAGAGAACAATTAAACGGAATGTCTCACTTTTGTTGGATATGCTCACATCTAAGTACTCAAATGAGCGTATCAACAAAGCGACTCCGCCGCCCTTACGATTCCTTCTTGGTATGTGGTGGAGTTTAAAATGCGGAAGAATGTTGTTGATGTCAGTAATAACATGGTTGTCATCCTCGGTTCCTTTAAGCCAAGTCTCTGTTATGGCCAGGATGTCTAAATGGTGGGAGATGACCAAATCGCATAAATGAGTTGATTTTTTAACAATCGAACGCACATTGAGGAGAGCAAAATTACTGGTGGATTTGGTTCTCGGTAGATGGCCAACGCGTGTGATAGAGATGACATTGTTGATGTTTCTTGAGTAAATTTTCTTTGATGGTCGTCGATGCGTAGAAACAATGGTTGGAATGTAATAACATTGAGAATCTTCGTTTTGAATAATTAAATCTTCCTTCGGTTGAGAAATTGCTCCAAGGTCAAATTGTGACAATAAGAAACCCATTTCAGGACCAGGGTTAGAAGCCCTAAAATCAGTCTAGGTTTGCGGCATCAATGAAAGTTTTGCGTATCTTTTGACGGCAAGTTACACTAACGGTTAAGATACTTTAAAACTCGGACATTTTTCGTGAAGGATCCACTGTTTTAAAATCATTTTGTTATTTTTGAGTGTTACTGAGTCACGATTGCATGACGTATGACGCAGGGTAAGAGCTTTTTTCACTCTTCTCACGGTGGAGAGGAGGTGGCACAGATTCAGACAATTAAATAATAAGTATTGCATTTTGAAACTTTTTTGCGCCATGCTTATTTAAAGAATCATTGAAAAAAACCTTGCGCTTAGGAAACACTCATCATTTATCGCCTCCCGTCCCTCCCTAGGAATTAATATTGACCGGTTCCTTGGCCTGAAACCATATAAATTATGTCATTTCACATCACTCTGCTTTCAATTCTCTATTAAGAGAACTTCATACCATGTTTCATTTCTTTCAGCCTAACTTTAAAGCTTTATACCTTCACCTGCCATGAAATAGAATAAGTAAGCAGCAGTTTTGATCGATGAATTCCTCGTGAAGATTCACGTTGGTCAGCGATCCGGCGACTAGCATACTCTGGTAGCCGATCAGAACATAGATTCGCCAAATCTTTCCGGCCGCTCGAATAGACAGCCATAATTTGAAGGTGTATTTCACTAGTTCCGTTCATACAAGTCCAACATATCAAAATCCAACAATCAGAGATGAATTGTCGGCTATGAGAATCGAAGTGTTAATTTGGTTGAAGGAAAAAAACAACTGCCCTTCATTCAGTATGTCGTAACGATTAAAAATAACTGCTTTTTATTCACAACAGCGTTCATCTCAACATCTTAATAATTTTAATAAAATAACTGGTCTAGGCAACAAGTTTTTACAGAATAAGGTACAATACCAGAAATCTAACGAAGTCCGGTAGAAATTCTTGCACCAAAATGTCACTAGTAACTCAGTGCGCTCGGATTAACCTTCTTAACTCCTAATCTACAATTTTTTTCCCTACAAAATTATGGGATATGTGGCCTTCCCTTTAAACTCGAAGGGGTATTTTTAACTTGAGGGCCATCATCAAAAATAGATCTAGAATCCTAGACTAGACAGCTGTAGACTGCTTGTGTGACCAGCTATTAAAATCGTTATCGTCGCTGAAAATAGGAAAATGCTAGTTTCTCGAGGAATTAGTTTAATGTAGTCAAAAAAATTAGCGTTGCCCCGATGTCGATATATGTATGTATATTGTATATTGGGCATGGAGATCACTTTATAAAAGTACTTGAGATGGTTCCCCGCGAAAAAAACAAACAAATGAAACCGAAAAAAGATTTTGAAAATCTTTGAAAACCTTACCCTTAACGTTTTATCATCATGCTTGAGATAACATATGATTTCCGGATAAAATCATAACAATTAAGTTCGAGTATACTTTTAACCTTGAAAAAAACTCTGCGCATTTGATATGATAAAGAGCCTCTTATAAAAAGTTACTCCATATTTGCTAGGGCTACACGACATTACTTAAAATTTACTTTTCTTAATAAATTAATCGCTTTCGAAAAAATTAGTTACATTATGCTTGGCTGGAGTATTTAACTATTCCCTTTCGAGAAAGGAGTTTGAGTTTGCTCAGTAACTGCTTAAAGTTAATCATCTCTACTTTATGAATTGTCCTGTCCCTAGCGCGCTCTTTACAAGAATGTTTTGTTGAATGCTTAAAATTTAGCTCGCAGACTTCTTTCGCAAATGGCTTCCCCTTTCTATAAGGTGGCAATTAACAGTTCTTGTTCTAGCTTTAATCGGTCCAGCACATTCCGTTACAGCGGGTTTACTTGACTCCTGGCTATTTGGTTGTAGTAGACACAGGCCAATTTGCAAAATCAAACGTCACGTTGTCGCCAATCAGCATAAAAGAAGCCCACTTAGAGACCTCCACAAAGCCATTGTTTCTCATCCATTTCCTGGCCTCGTGAAGAGATTCACTGGCGCTTTCACCGCGGAACAAGTGCTCATAGAAACAAGTCATGAACTTCTCTGTGGCTGTGTCATCTATGGCCCACCGTGCCGCTAACACTGAGCGAGCACCGGATCCTAAGAACGCTCGAGCGATTCCAATAACTCCCTCGGCTTTAATCTGTCCGCGTGCACTGTGACAACAGCTAAGCACAACCAGTTTAGCTCGCAGCTTAATTCGTGAAATGTCCTCCATCGTCAAGAGGAAGGCTTCTTCTCGTGGAACATAATCAGCGGGACACTCAGGAGAAAGGACAATCTCTCCTCTTTCAGCATCACCATGGGCAGCTAAATGGATCAGACTCACTGAATGTATTGCTTGAAGTACAGCCTGCTTTGTCGCGCGATCTCCAATCAAAGGTGTCACGCCAAGAAGGCTTCCAATCATCTCTGCTTCCTTTCTTGCACATGGCAATCGTGTTATATTCTTGCGTCTTCCCTTGTAAATCACCTCTCCAACCTGAGGGTCACCGACTATCAGTGCACCTGTTTGACTGTGATAGTATGGGGGACTGTCCTGAATAAGTTTGAGAGTCGTCAAAGAGGGAACGATGCGTAACCTGAATGTCTCCGATACAAAGTTTCTTCCATCGTCAGTTAAAGCCGCAAATGGTACCTGGTACATACAGGAATCAGGGACAATGATAATTTCGGGCTCCTTCAGTAAAGCGGCCACAGGAGCGATGATTATCTTGTGACACAATTGAAGATTTGTCTTGATACCTTTGTCATCACAATCGCGCAGGAGCGCGTGATTTTCATGGTAAAGTGACATCGATTCGGTGTCATCTAGAGATCGATCTTCGCAATTCTGTTCGGGTAAAATGCCAAGGCCACGAAAGCTTTTCGTAAAAAACTCATCCAAGTTAGGGACTAATCCGGTCACCACATTTTTGTCCAGGCTCACTTCTTCATCTTTAAAAATGATAGCCCCTGTTGCTTTGAGAATCCAATAGTGCATATGCTTTTCTCCAACCGAAATGTAGAGGCATGCGCAGTCAGCTTCCTTTGCGACAATGTTTTGAATCCCATACCATGATTTTGGATCGCCTGAGATCTGCTTTACAACAGAGTAGCGAGCCCCCATCAAGTCGGCCAAGCCCCTCGCCCGTCTCAACTCCTCGACATAGAGGGCGTGGTGTGGCTTTGCCTTGGAAGAAAGTAAGCTACTGAGCAACTTGTATGGAAAGGTGCCGTGCTCCTCTAAAAGTGATGTTTTAAACTGATCATTTTCTTTTAGAGATCCTCGCAACGTGTCGAAAATTTGAATGGTTTGGAAAAGACACGAAAAGGCTTCTTCAAGATCATTTTGTGATACCTTCAACACCGTTAGATCAAGAAGGCATTGAAACTCACGCGAGCTGTGTCCAACATCCCTGCTTAATGAGAGAGCTCTCTTGAGGTATTCCTCGGCCATGTCATATTTACCGAGCGATTGGAAACACGATGCTATATGTGCGTAACCGACAACAACACCTTCTTTCGTACCATTTTCCATGTGAATTTCAAGGGCTTTCTTGTGATATTCTAGAGCATTGTCGTACTCACCACGCTTACAAGAAATCCTCCCAAGGTTTCCGAAATGTATTGCTTGTCCACTTCTGTCACCGATTTCCCTCCAAATTGCCACTGCTCTCTCAAGAAAATCTTCAGCCTTTCGATATTGACCGAGGGACAGAAAAAATGAAGTAAGGTTTCCGTAAGTGTCTGCCTCTCCTTTTCTTCCGCCAATTCCCTGTAAATACGTAGGGCTTTCTCCAGGTATTCTCGGGCCTTGTCATGTTCGCCAAGCAATTGAAACAGTCTTCCGAGGTTCCCGTAGTTTGTTGCTTCTCCTTCTCTGTCGCCAATTTCTATTTTCATAGTAAGTGCTTTCTCTAGGTATTTTCGGGCCCCATCATATTTGCCGAGCAATTCGAACACTATTCCAAGGTACCCGCAACTTGTTGCCTCTCCATTTCTGTCTCCAATTTCTGTTTGGATAGCTAGAGCTTTTTCCAGGTACTCATGGGCCTTGCCATATTTGCCGATCGATAGGAACACTGTTCCAAGTGTTCCGTAGCTTGTTGCCTCTGCATTTCTGTCGCCAATTTCTATTTGGATAGCGAGAGCTTTCTCCAGATATTCTTGGGCCTTGCCATATTCGCCAAGCGATCTAAACAGCGCTCCAAGGTTCCCGTAGCCTGTTGCCTCTCCATCTCTGTCGCCAATTTCTATTTTGATAGCAAGTGCTTTCTCTAGGTATTCTTGAGCCCTGCCATTTTCGCCAAGCGATCTGAACAGTGTTCCTAGGTTCCTGTAGATTGTTGCCTCTCCATTTCTGTCGCCAATTTCTATTTTGATAGCAAGAGCTTTCTCCAGGTATTCTTGAGCCTTGTAATATTTCCCAAGCGATTTGAACAGTGTTCCGAGGTTCCCGCAGCTTGCTGCCTCTCCAATTCTGTCGCCAATTTCTATTTGGATAGCGAGAGCTTTCGCTAAAGTATTCTCGGGCCTTGGCGAATTTGCCAAGTGACTGGAACATTGTTCCGAGAATATGGTAGCTTGTTGCCTCTCCATTTCTGTTGCCAATTTCTATTTGGATAGCAAGAGCTTTCTCCGAGTATTCTCGGGCCTTGTCTAATTTGCCAAGTGACTGGAACACTGTTCCGAGGCTATGGTAGCTTGTTGCCTCTCCATTTCTGTCGCCAATTTCTATTTGCATAGCGAGAGCTTTCTCCAAGTATTCTCGGGCCTTGTCGTATTTGCCAAGCGACTGAAACACTGTTCCGAGGTTCTGGTAGCTTGTTGCCCTCCATTTCTGTCGCCAATTTCTATTTTGATAGCAAGAGCTTTATCCAGGTATTCTTGAGCCTTGTAATATTTCCCAAGCGATATGAACAGTGTTCCGAGGTTCCCGCAGCTTGCTGCCTCTCCAATTCTGTCGCCAATTTCTATTTGGATAGCCAGAGCTTTCTCCGAGTATTCTCGGGCCTTGTCGTATTTGTAAAGCGATATGAACAGTGCTCTGAGGTTATTGTAGCTTTTTGCCTCTCCATTTCTGTTGCCAATTTCTATTTGGATAGCGAGAGCTTTCTCCAAGTATTCTCGGGCCTTGTCGTATTTGCCAAGCGACCGAAACACTGTTCCGAGGTTCACGTAGCTTGTGGCCTCTCCATTTCTGTCGCCAATGTCTATTTGGATAGCGAGAGCTTTCATCAAGTATTCTCGGGCCTTGTTGTATTTGCTAAGCGATACGAACAGTGCTCCGAGGTTCACGTAGCTTGTGGCCTCTCCATTTCTGTCGCCAATGTCTATTTGGATAGCGAGAGCTTTCATCAAGTATTCTCGGGCCTCGTCGTATTTGCCAAGCGACCGAAACACTGTTCCGAGGTTCACGTAGCTTGTGGCCTCTCCATTTCTGTCGCCAATGTCTATTTGCATAGCGAGAGCTTTCTCCAGGTATTCTCGGGCCTTGTCGTATTTGCTAAGCGATACGAACAGTGCTCCGAGGTTCGAGTAGCTTGTGGCCTCTCCATTTCTGTCGCCAACTTCTATTTGGATAGCGAGAGCTTTCTCCAAGTATTCTCGGGCCTTGTCGTATTTGCCAAGCGACTGAAACACTGTTCCGAGGTTCTGGTCGCTTGTTGCCTCTCCATTTCTGTCGCCAATGTCTATTTGGATAGCGAGAGCTTTCTTCAAGTATTCTCGGGCCTTGTCGTATTTGCTAAGCGATATGAACAGTGCTCCGAGGTTCACGTAGCTTGTGGCCTCTCCATTTCTGTCGCCAATGTCTATTTGGATAGCGAGAGCTTTCTTCAAGTATTCTCGGGCCTTGCCGTATTTGCTAAGCGATATGAACAGTTGTCCAAGGTTGGAGTAGTTTGCTGCCTCCCCATATCTGTCGCCAATTTCTATTTGGATAGCGAGAGCTTTCGCTAAAGTATTCTCGGGCCTTGGCGAATTTGCCAAGTGACTGGAACACTGTTCCGAGAATATGGTAGCTTGTTGCCTCTCCATTTCTGTTGCCAATTTCTATTTGGATAGCAAGAGCTTTCTCCAAGTATTCTCGGGCCTTGTCTAATTTGCCAAGTGACTGGAACACTGTTCCGAGGCTATGGTAGCTTGTTGCCTCTCCATTTCTGTCGCCAATTTCTATTTGCATAGCGAGAGCTTTCACCAAGTATTCTCGGGCCTTGTCGTATTTGCCAAGCGACTGGAACACTGTTCCGAGGCTCTGGTAGCTTGTTGCCTCTCCATTTCTGTCGCCAATTTCTATTTTGATAGCGAGAGCTTTCTCCAGGTATTCTTGGGCCTTGTCGTATTTGCCAAGCGATATGAACAGTGTTCCGAGGTTCCCGTAGCTTGTTGCCTCTCCATGTCTGTTGCCAATTTCTATTTGGATAGTGAGAGCTTTCTCCAGGTATTCTCGAGCCTTGTCGTATTTGCCAAGCAACCCGAATACTGTTTCGAGGTTCCCATAGATTGTTGCCTCTCCATGTCTGTCGCCAATTTCTATTGGAATAGCGAGAGCTTTCTCCAGGTATTCTTGGGCCTTGTCTAATTTGCCAAGCGATGTGAACAGTGCTCCGAGGTTCGCGCAGCTTGTTGCCTCTCCATTTCTGTCGCCAATTTCTATTTGGATAGCGAGAGCTTTCTTCAAGTATTCTCGGGATTTGTCGTATTTGCAAAGCGACAGGAACACTCTTCCGAGGCTCTGGTAGCTTGTTGCCTCTCCATTTCTGTCGGCAATTTCTATTTGGATAGCGAGAGCTTTCTCCAGGTATTCGCGGGCCTTGTCGTAATTGCTAAGTGATAGGAACATTGCTCCGAGATTCGTGTAGCTTGTTGCCTCTCCATGTCTGTCGCCAATTTCTATTTGGATAGCGAGAGCTTTCTCCAGGTATTCGCGGGCCTTGTCATATTTGCCAAGCGACATGAACAGTATTCCAATGTCCGTGTAGCTTGTTGCCTCTCCATTTCTGTCGCCAATTTTTATTTGGATAGCGAGTGCTATCTCCAAATATTCTTTCCCTTTGTTATATTCTCCTAGGAAACACAGAAGCACTCCTAGTCTTCTATAATATTCCGCTTCTTTTTGTCTGTTTTCGGTCATTTTCATGACATTTATTGCTGATTCATAAAATTTCTTTTCCTCTTCAGGGTGAAGTAAAAGTTCCCTGAGGTATTCTTCAATACCTGGTGAATTGCATAGAGTGAGCCACGCCCTTTTCACTGTGGTGCGGATGTGCTCGTCAAATGACTTGGCAACTGGACTGTCCGCGCTTAAATCACCATTGTTCAGTAAAATCAAGCTTTCTTGGCACAGCTCGATGGCTTTCAAGGTCAAACCATTGTTGAGAAGGAAAATGGCGACAGTTACACCTATTTTGATAGCTAACGTGGTGAATTCCTCTTCTGTGTTTTTCATATCGCCTTGATCACTGTAAGTTTGGAAAAAAAATGTAGATCAGGCATATGACACTCGAAAGTTCCTGTACAAGGGTTCATGGGTGCGAACTTTTTTAGGAATCTTGGTTTTCTCATCTCGACGGAGGTCCTACCCTGTATTGAAATGAAGCGTTTACGAGACTGGAACCAGTATGAGTGTGATTGCACTTCCTGCTTCATCTCACAAAAATCTGGTTTTTTTTTTAATGATTGCGCCATTCGTGTTAGAACGTTTTGCTGGAATGAAGTAGGGGTAACTGAATTTAAATGGTTGTTCCTGCCCCACATTTTATGATTGTAAAACATTCAGTCAGTCATAACTTATATATACCCTACCGTTTAAAGACAGAAACTTCAATAGTGCTGTGATCGATCTTGTGATGAACATCCAACCGTTAAAACGCAATGAACACTAGGGGCTGACGTTTCCTGTAAAACAAAGTAAAAAGTTTCATTTGCATGCTCATATCCATCAATGTTTATCTAAGTTCAACTAACAAAACCGAAATACAAATACCTAAACCGAAGCACTTGAGGCTCAGAGTAACCTACTGAACTTTTCTTTTCCTTCCACCAAGATGAAAACTTTCGAGGGTAACATTTACTAAAATAATCGTCTTGGCAGAAACTCACACTAATAACTTCATCTGTTTAGCTTATATAGTAAATTATATAATGTCTTTGTTATTAATGATGCAAATCACACTCATTAGAAAATGAAAAGTTCACCAGTAAAGAGTCGATCCTCACACCCAAACACTGGAAAATACCCTATTTAACTGAACTGTGATCGATCTCGTGATGAAAATCCAACCGTTTAAGAGCAATGAACACGTAAGGGCTGACGATCCTTGTACTGAACAAGTACAATTTTTTCCTTTTTGCATGCTCAAATGCATCATTGTTTATAAAATTCAAAACCGAAACACAAGTAATTTAAGGGGAACAATTAATATTCGGGGTAAATTGCTCAGCGTCTTTCTGTATTTTCCACTTATGAATTAGGAAAAAAGTAGATGAATTTATTCATGATTCGACTTCCATTTTTCTGACATGAAAATCCTGCTCGAAGTTGGTCCAAGTTTTTAGGTGTTCTAGACAGCAAATTATCATCAGCATCGCTTTCATGGCGCATTGTAGTGTTCTCAAATTGCTAGTTTCCTAGCCAAAGCGAAGCGGAAATAAAAATGCGAGAGTAGCAGGGATGACTGATGAGACTTTTCAGGAGATTAGCTTCAAGGATCCTGCTTCATAAGTATGGTCCAGGTTCATGCCCCCCCCTCCCTCCCCAAAATGTTATCAATTGTTGTATATTTTTAGAGAGTTTCGATCTATGTAGATCCTAACTCTAATTTCACCTACTCATTACTTTATTTAAGTCTTATCCAGATTAACACTTAAAAGGGTAACTCTTAGTAAAGTGATCATCTTAGAGAAACTCGCGCGCACGCTTAACTTCATCCGTTTTCCTTATCTAGTAAATTATTCAGTATCTTGATCATGCATTTCACACCCACTAGAAAATAAAAAGTCTTGGACAGTGGAACAACGCGGAGATGGCTTACCTTTCTAAGGCTGATGGTTCACTTGTACTTTGATCAATCTTGTAATGAAAATTCAAGCGGTCATAACAAATGAACACGAAAGGCTGACGTTCCCTGTAAAACAGAATAAATTGTTTCACTTTTGCATGCTCAAATCCATCATTAGTTATATAAGTTAGTTATAAAAACCGAAATACATGAAAAAAGAGGGAACATCATCCACTATCTTCATTCTGGAGAACGAAAAAATATACGAATGTCATTTATCCGTCCTTAATACTCTATTCCGTCCTTCTCAAGATTAGCTCGACAGTACTACGTGTGACAAAAACTTTGACGAGGTCGGAACAGAATATATCTCTACAGAAATCAATTTTACCAGCGCTGGTGATATGCGATTCAGTCGTTCGCAGAAAATTTCAATATCCAAAATGGTATTTCAAATTTTTAATTCGACCTCGGTATTTGTGATTGTCTTTCTATTTGATAGACATTACCTGTCAGTTTTACCTCTCATAGATCAGTACATTGAAAATAGCATGATAGAACACTGACACTCTAAACAAAAATGATTTGTGTAAGCTATGTAAAGGCACTAACAGTGGGAAATAAGTTGAACTGTATCATTTTTTTTGAATACCCATTGAGTGCTCTCAAATTGCTGGTTTCATAGTCAAAGCGAAGCAGAAATAAAATTGTGAGAGTAGCAGGGGTGACTGATGCGACTTTTAGGAGATTAGGTTCAAGGATCCTGCTACATAAGTTGGTCCAGGTTCACTTCCCTCCCTCCCTCCCAGAATGTTATCAATTGTTGTACATTTTAAAGTGTCGATCTATGTAGATCCTAACTCTAATGTCACCCACTCGTTACTTCATCGAAGTCTTATCTTGATTAACACTTAAAAAGGTATCTCTTAGTGAAGTGATAATCGTAGAGAAACTCGCAGGATGAAGTTCATCCATTTTCTTGATTTAGGAACTTACTTAGTATCTTGATTATGAAAATCACACTCAATAGAAAACGAAAAGCGTGGAAAATCGCGGAGATGGCTCACCTTTTGAAAGCAGAAGGATCAGTTGTACTTTGATCAATCTTGTAATGAAAATCCAAGCGGTCAAAATAAATGAACACCAAAGGCTGACGTTCCCTGTAAAACAGAATAAATTGTTTTATTTTTTTGCATGCTCAAATCCATCATTAGTTATATAAGTTAGATATAAAAAACCGAAATACATGAACTAAAGAGGAAACATCTTCCCCTATCTTCTGGAGAACAAAAAAATATATAAATTTCATTTTTGCTTCCTTAATACTCTATTCCTTCCTGTGCAAGATTAGCTCGACAGTACGACGTGTGACAAAAACTTTGAAGAGGTTGGATCCAAATATATTGCTACAGAAATCAATTTACCAACGCTGGTGATATGCGATTCATTCGATCGCAAAAAATTTCAATATTCCAAATGGTATTTATAATTTTAATTCGACCTCGCTATTTGTGATTGTCTTTCTATTTGATAGACATTAACTCTCAGTTTTTATCGAAGACATAGATCATAACATTGAATAAAAATACCCTACCGTTTAAAGACAGAAGCTTCAATTGTACTGTGATCGATCCTGTGATGAAAATCCAACCGTTTAAACGAAATGAACACTAGCTGGTGACTGAAGTTTCCTGTAAAACAAAGTAAATTGTTTCATTTTGCATGCTCAAATCCATCAATTAATGTTTATGAAAGTTAGACTAACAAAACCGAAATACAAGAACCTAAACCGGAACACTTCAAGTTCGGAGTGGTCTGCTTTTCCACTAAGATGAACACTTTCAAGGTAAAAATAATCGTCTTGTAGAAACTCACGCTATAAACTTCATCTGTTTTGCTTATATAGTAATTTACGCAGTGTCTTTGATATTGATGATGCAAATCACACTCATTAGAAAATGAGAAGTTCACCAGTAAAGAGTCGACCATCACACCCAAACACTGAAAAATACCCTATTTAGTTGTACTGTGATCGAT